ACAGTGAATTATAAGTGAAATAATCTGTCTGTAAACAATTGTTGGAAAATGACTTGTGTCATGCACAAAGTAGATGTCCTAACCAACTTGCCAAAACTATAGTTTGTTAACAAGACATTTGTGGAGTGGCTGAAAAACGAGTTTTAATGACTCCAACCTAAGTGTATGTAAACTTCCGACTTCAACTGTGTCTCTAGTTTAAACTGACGGATTTGACAGGGATTTTTTATTATGTTACTTTGATTGACACACGGGTTATCTAGTGATCTCATGATCACTACATAACAAAAGTTGTTTTGTCGAGATCACAAGATAATCAAAAGTACCACGCATCATCAATTCATTTGTTCAGATAACCACCTCATCAAGGAGCCCTCTGGCTGCGTTGATCTCAATTCGGCCGTAGGGGCATTTAAGCCCTGAACGACGCCTGACAGGCATCATGCCGCCCCCAAGACCACAGTCAATCGCATGCAAGGTACAATGCAGCTATTTTAGCTAGTTAAGCTAGGTAGTGTTGTTAGCTAGCTAGCTAGCTAGCTAGCATGTTATCTATGCTGGTTGTTAGCTTGCATTACTGATGTGTATAATTATAAGGGACCCTTCATGTTTTGTGGATAATATTACAATTTAAAGTGGGTGAGCTCCATTCCTGACAGGCTGATCAGATTCAATTTCAGTCTCAGAGGCTGATAATCAAGATGCTGCCTTGTAGGCTGTTTTATAGGTAAGGCTCCTTGCAAACAACCTTCAAGGCAGCGTCCTGACTTATCAGCCTATGAGTCTGCTGTTGAATCTGATCAGCCTGTCAGGAATGGAGCTCACCTCACCCACTCTGTAAATTGTAATATTATCCATAAAACATTGTGTTCCTTACAATTATACACATATCAGTTGTGCAAGGTAACAACCAGAATAGATAACAAGCCAGCTAGCTAGCTAGCTATCTATCTAGCTAACAAGAATACCTAGGTAACTAGCTCACAAAACTAGCCAAGTTAGCTGCGTTGTTGCTTGCATGCGATTGGCTGTGGTCTTGGGGGTGGCACACAACCTGGGAGACAGGGCTGCCTGTCAGGCATTGTTCAGGGCTTAAATGCCCCCACGAGGGCTTAGCTCCCCGACAAGCTCTTAGCTCAAGGTAAGGGACATTTAGCTAACATTCTAACTTATAAACTGATAATGAGCTCCAAACACAAATAATGCATGATGTTAGCATGAACTGTACCGTCCCTTAGTGTAGCAAGCAATAAAAACATATGCGCTGATCCACCGTGGGCCCATACTGGCAATCTACCATCAAATACGTCCACTCATATTTATACAGTTTATCTCGTGATGTTGACAAAACAACTTTTCTTATGTCGTGATCATGAGAAAATGATATTGTGCTCTCAACAAAACAACTTTTCTTATGTCGTGATCATGAGATAAATAAATTGTGATCTTGACATAACGATGGAATTATGTTTTATTCATATGTCCTCTCTGGGCTTCCGTATGTAACAAAGTCTGGTGTTACAATGAAAAGCTATTCCATCAAGACCTATTCATGAATGTATCTAAAGCAACACTTGATATCATCAGGGATCACAATGGAAATAAGTCATTGACTTTGTGTTTTCCTTGTCAAGTTTTACAGTGCATTCGGAAAGTATTCAGACCCCTTGACTTTTTCCACATTTTGTTACCTTACAGCCTTGTTCTAAAATGGATTAAATTGTTGTTTTTCCTCATCAATCTACACACAATACCACATATTGACGAAGCAAAAACAGGTTTTGAGAAAATGTTGCAAATGTATAAAAAAAAAAAAGAACTGAAATATCACATTTACATAAGTATTCAGACCCTTTACTCTGTACTTTGTTGAAGCACCTTTGGCAGCGATTACAGCCTCAAGTCTTCTTGGGTATGACGCTACAAGCTTGGCAAACCTGTATTTGGGGAGTTTCTCCCATTCTTCTCTGGAGATCCACTCAAGCTCTGTCAGGTTGGATGGGGAGCGTCGATGCACAGCTATTTTCAGGTCTCTCCAGAGATGTCCGATCGGGTTCAAGTCCTGCCTCTGGCTGGGCCCCTCAAGGACATTCAGAGACTTGTCCCGAAGCCACTCCTGCATTGTCTTGGCTGTTTGCTTAGGGTTTTTGTCCTGTTGGAAGGTGAACCTTCGCCCCAGTCTGAAGTCCTGAGCGCTCTGGAGCAGGTTTTCATCAAGGATCTCTGTACTTTTCTCCGTTCATCCTTCCCTCGATCCTGACTAGTCTCCAAGTCCCTGCCACTGAAAAGGTCCCCACAGCATGATGCTGCCCCTACCATGCTTCACCGTAGGGATGGTGCCAGGTTTCCTCCAGATGTGACGCTTGGCATTCAGGCCAATTAGTTAAATCTTGGTTTCATCCGACCAGAGAATCTTGTTTCTCATGGTCTGAGAGTCCTTTAGGTGCCTTTTGACAAACTCCAAGCGGGCTGTCATGAGCCTTTTACTGAGGAGTGGCTTCCGTCTGGCCACTCTACCATAAAGGCCTGATTGGTGGAGTGCTGCAGAGATGATTGTCCTTCTGGAAGGTTCTCCCATCTCCACAGAGGAACTCTGGAGCTCATTCAGAGTGACCATCAGGTTCTTGGTCACCTTCCTGACCAAGGCCCTTCTCCCCGATTGCTCAGTTTGGTCGGGCGGCCAGCTCTAGGAAGAGTCTTGGTGGTTCCAAACTTCTTCCATTTAAGAATGGAGGCCACTGTGTTCTTGGAGACCTTCAATGCTGCATACATTTTTTGGTACCCTTCCTCAGACCTGTGCCTCGACACAATCCTGTCTCGAAGCTCTACGGACAATTCCTTCGACCTCATGGCTTGGTTTCTGCTCTGACATGCACTGTCAACTGTGGGACCTTATATAGACAGGTGTGTGCCTTTCCAAATCATGTCCAATCAATAGAATTTACCACAGGTGGACTCCAATCCAGTTGTAGAAACATCTCAAGGATGATCAATGGAAACAGGATGCACCTGAGCTCAATTTCTAGTATCATAGCAAAGGGTCTGAATACTTATGTAAATAAGGTATTTCCGTTTTAAAATTTTTATACATTTGCAAGAATTTCTAAAAGCCTGTTTTTCGCTTCATCATTCTGGGGTATTGTGTGTAGATTGATGAGGATTTTTCTGTATTTATTCCATTTTAGAACAAGGCTGTAATGTAACTAAATGTGGAAAAAGTCAAGGGGTCTGAATACTTTCCGAATGCACTGTATGTATATGTTTGTTTTCTTAAACTGGCAAATAAAATCAATCAATGACACGCACAATAAGCCTATGTCTTATAAAGACATTATAACTAACCCTACTGTTCTTTGCAGTGACCCCATCTCTGTGGGCCCCATCTGACATCAACATCTTCATTTGACCTTTGACCCTTCACCTCCAAGGCCATGTGTCGCCTGTTGATGACCTCGCTATTCGTCTACTTCTGGTTGGTGGAGAGGGGTCAGTGTGACGCCTTCAGCCTTCAGGACACCATGGAAGAGCTGCACACAGAGTTCACCATCAACCTCTACCAAACGCTCACCAAGACAGAGAACAACTCCAACCTGATTGTGTCGCCAGCGAGCGTCTCGCTGTCCTTGGGTCTTCTGCAGCTGGGTGCCCGCGGCAACACGCTGGCGCAACTGGTGGCGGCACTGGGATATGACATCAATGGTAAGAATCCACCACCAAGCAGAGCCCCATGGGCTAAGGGATCCTGTGGGCCGGTTGGCATGGGGTCCTGTGGGCCAGTTGGTATGGGGTCCTGTGGGCCAGTTGTTACAGGGTCCTGTGGGCCAGTTGGTACATGGTCCTGTGGGCCAGTTGGTATGGGGTCCTGTGGGCCAGTTGGTACAGGGTCCTGTGGGCCGGTTGGCATGGGGTCCTGTGGGCCAGTTGGTATGGGGTCCTGTGGGCCAGTTGGTACAGGGTCCTGTGGGCCAGTTGGTACGGGGTCCTGTGGGCCAGTTGGTATGGGGTCCTGTGGGCCAGTTGGTATGGGGTCCTGTGGGCCAGTTGGTATGGGGTGCTGTGGGCCAGTTGGTACAGGGTCCTGTGGGCCAGTTGGTACATGGTCCTGTGGGCCAGTTATAACGGGGTCCTGTGGGCCAGTTGGTCTGGGGTCCTGTGGGCCAGTTGGTACATGGTCCTGTGGGCCAGTTGGTACATGGTCCTGTGGGCCAGTTGGTATGGGGTCCTGTGGGCCAGGTGATACAGGGTCCTGTGGGCCGGTTGGTACGGGGTCCTGTGGGCCGGTTGGTACGGGGTCCTGTGGGCTGGTTGGTACGGGGTCCTGTGGGCCGGTTGGTACGGGGTCCTGTGGGCCGGTTGGCCAGGCAGGGCAGGGCAGGGTAGAGTGGTGTCTGGATCCCTAATACCTGCCCCTGCTCTATAATCTGATTATTCAGAGGGTAATACTGAGACTCTGGGGTCGAAAGGCCACTGTGTTACACGCATGGTGAAAGCAGACACTAAACCAGTAGAGTTCAAAAGGTACTCAAGACCTGTAGAGAAGGACTTACTTCAGGCAGAGAGAAAAGGAACATATTTTCTTGATTTGGTGCCAAAGTGAAGAAAACATTTTTGACTCTAAGCCAAGGGTCGCTGTGTATACGTTTGGTATGGACCTGGGCCCGACGTCACATGCCTTTCCCCAAACACCACGCAGAGAGAACGGTCGCTAAGTGCATCGTTGAGGCGTGTGTCGATACTGATAGGATTGAAAGAAAGTCAGCGCTGCTCTCGGATCAGCTTTCTCCATTCCAAATCTTACCTTTTACAATAGTCCACAACACTGATGAAGGATCAGCGCCTAGAGAGATATGGTCGCCTACGACTGCAAATATTGAGGCTTATTCTAATGCCCCTTTAATAACGCAGTAAATCACAGATGTGGCACATTATTGTGCACATGTTGTTACAAAGCTCATCTAGTGGGAACCTAGCCACTGATCCCACTTCCGGTCTCTCCAGATATGCAGGTGCAGGACTTCCTGTTGCGGTCACAGGGGGACGTGGGTAACTCCAGTCACGGGGTGCGGCTCCGGCAGGCCTGCGCCCTATTCGTCCAGAGCGGCGTCCAGCTACTTCCTGTTTTTACCCAGCATGCAGCAGCCTTGGGCAACAACAGTCTGGTGCGAGCCAACTTCAGCCAGCCCAACCACAGCCGAAGACAGCTGCAACAGTGGGGACGAAACCATGGCACCGGCGAGCCGCTCCAATCCGGTGGCAGCGGGGAGCTGTTTGGGTCTGGCGAGGCCCAGGAAGAGACCTCGGGGTGGGGCCAGCGGCTGCAGATGGCCCTGGTCAACACTGTGAACTTCCAGGGAGTGTGGCAGAAGCAGTTCCTTTTCACGGACACCCAGAACCTTCCCTTCACCCTGTCGGACGGCAGCACCATCAAGGTGCCCATGATGTACCAGGCCACAGAGGTCAACTTTGGTAAGTGAGAAGAGACAACGGCAATATTTTTCTGTCTGTCTCTCCTTTTGGCCGTGGTTGAACTTCTCGGTTCATCACTCACAGGCAAACCATGAAGGCACCACACCACATTTAGCCTAATGTTACAGTTGGAGTTTTGATTCGTACTTATAGTAATCTAGATCATTTTACAAGACATTGTAAAGTATACGTGTTTAGTGCCTCTGCATCGCTTGCTCTCTGGGGGGGTTCTAGGCTGGGTATCTGTAAAACACTTGTGTGACACCTGCTGATGTTAAAAGGGTGATTGATTATTTAAGCCGTCCCTCCCTCTGTTCCCCTTCTATGTGCAGGTCAGTTCCGCACCGTGTCAGACCAGCGCTACACGGTCTTGGAGCTGCCGTACCTGGGCCGCTCCCTCAGTCTTCTGGTGGCTCTGCCCAGTGACAGGAAGACACCTCTGTCCTCGCTGGAATCCCAGATAACCCCGCGCGCTGTGGCCAGCTGGGACACTGGCCTACGCAGAACCAAGATGGATGTTTTCCTCCCCAGGTAGCCTACACATCTCAACGTGTATTTATTTTAAACATTTATTATACCAGGTTAGTCTTGACTGACCTATAACGTTTCCTAGCCCAAAGTGGCTTCCTTTCCCTGTATCCTAACGGTTTCTGCTAAGAGGGATGCTTGGGACGACCCCAACTCTGACATCACCCCATTGAAGTTTACATTTAAAATGGTTAGGGTTAGGTAAGTGTTATGGTTTAGGGTAGGGTCATCCCAAGGATCCCAAAAGCATTTACCGTGTCCTAATCTCCATGACGACTGATCTAGCATGGCCAAACAGGTGAATTGGTAATGCACTTGCACTCATTTACATGGCTTTTACTAACAGGTTTAAAATGCAGAACAGGTTCAACCTGAGGTTGGTTCTGCCGTCAATGGGGGTCAGTGACGCCTTCAACCCAATGGCAGCAGACTTCACTGGCATCTCAGGTAAAGAACACTCACTCAACTGCTATATCCAGGTTTAATATGAGATCAGGGTTGGGGTCAATTCCATTTCAATTCCAGTCAAGTACACTGAAATCCCAATTCTATTCAATGAGGAACAATTGGAATTTGGTTTACTTTCTGAATTGACTGAATTTACCCCAAACCCTGTATGAGATCCATGTCATCCTCAGTACTCTGCATACGACTGTCCAGTACTCAAGCATTGCGTTGTTCTCTCTCCACAGCGGAGGAGGGCCTGTACGTGTCTGATGCCTTTCATGAGGCCAGGATAGAGGTAACAGAGGATGGGACCAAGGCCGCTGCGGCCACAGCTATGGTGCTACTCAAACGCTCCCGCGCTCCCGTCTTCAAAGCAGACCGACCTTTCTTCTTCCTCTTGAGACAAGTCAGCACAGGTAGGCCTACAATGCAAACATTAACAGATGGCTTACATATGCAGTAAGGCACGAGGGGGTGTGGTATATTGGCCATATACCACAAACCCCCGAGGTGCCTTATCACTATTATAAACTGGTTACCAACGTAATTAAAAAACAGTAAAAAAAATAATAATGTTGGTCATACCTGTGGTATACGGTCTGATATTCCACAGCTTTCAGCCAATCGGCATTCAGGACTCAAAACAACCCAGTTTAACACACTGTGGCTGCGTTTACACAGGCAGCCCAATTCTGATCTTTTGCCACCAATTTTTTGTTGTTGTCGTTGACCAAATCAGATCAGCGGCAGAAGATCAGAATTGGGCTGCCCGTGTAAACGCAGCCTCAGTTGGTGCGTTGTATTGCCGGTACAGCATCACCTTGTTAGTTTGGGCTTCTATTCATCATTCTATTCGTCATCCCTCTCTCTCTCTCTCTCTCCAGGATCTGTTCTATTCATGGGGCGTGTGGTGAATCCAGCTGAACAGGCACCCTAGGACCCACACCCCTTACCCTTAACCCAGCTCATATTCAACCCCAACGCATTACCCATATTTATTGGGGACCAACAGGAGGGTCCAGACATCAGGAAGAGGGACAATATCTGTTGTACATATCTGTAAATAAAATGTAAATACATCTGTGTTTTGCACCCAAAGTGTTTTGGTCATTTACATCTGTAGCGTAGGACCACTACTTCCTAGTCGCAGAGAGGGATGCAGAAACTCTCACATCCACCAAATTATTCAAACTTATGTGAACACGCGGTCATTTCCCCATAGGTGGTGTGACACAAAAAAAAAAAAAAAAAAAAAAAAATCACCCTCTGTTTTGTTGACTTTATTTACATAGCCAGTCACAGGTTAAAATAGAAACTTTATTCATGGAAATACAAAAAGGCCTTCCTCTGAACATTCTCTTTAAATAATTCTCTAAAGTTATTTACATCTATACAGCGTATTCAAAATACTCTCTTTTGGTAGCGTCCTCTTTTTAAACAAAGACAAGTTTGGCAACTGTTTGGTCCCTGTATGGGAGGGGGTATTGGAAAAGAGTCAGGAGAGATAAAGGGGGGGATAGGCGGGGAGGATTGCAAATGTTTTGCAGTAAACGGCACACGACAGCCAGCCAGACATCTAGGGCCTCAATCCTACCTCGAACGTCCAACAACACTTCAGGGGATCACTTAATGGTTACACGACAGAGAGATTTAGTTTAGGATCGCAGTAAGGTAACCAAAGTGGATGTATTATTTTAAAAACGGGGCCTCCTGTAGCTCAGTTGGTAGAGCATGGCGCTCGCAACGCCAGGGTTGTGGGTTCGATTCCCACGGGGGGGTATGAAAAATGTATGCACTCACTAAAACTGTAAGTCTCTCTGGATAAGAGCGTCTGCTAAATGACTAAAATGTATTACTGGTATTGCTAACCATTGTGTTATTTCCTGAGGCCTGTCTACTACCCACCATAGACGGTTCTTGTCTTTGTAACAGTATTCAGAGAGTCCACTACTACTACTATTATTATTGGAGTTTGGTTTATCCTTCTAGCTAAAATCCAGTACTGCTAAAATGACTTGACTTGTGACTTTCCTCCTGCCTCTTCAGGCCAACATACAAATCTAGAACAGTTTTTTTTTTTTTTTTTTTTTTTTTTTTTCAAACTGGCAACTAAAACTGTGAAGCAAAAGCATAAAAACTATTGCCTACAAATATGGAGTCGCATCAGAGTGAAATGTGGACTTCAGTTTGGTTACAGCCTAGTTTAGACTAACCTTTCCATGGCAAGATTAGGAAGTCATGAGGGAGGGAGGGAGGTGGCCAACCCTTTCTATTGGTGAATACAGTAAAGGAGTGTTTCTATTGGTGGAGTGGAGTGCCTATCAGGATTAAGTGCATAACCAAACAAGGACAATCCCACAACAAAAATACCTCAAAGAAAGAGAGATGACTAGAAAGAGAGAGATAACTAGAAAGAGAAAGAGATAACTAGAAAGAGAGAGAGATAACTAGAAAGAGAAAGAGATAACTAGAAAGAGAGAGAGATAACTAGAGAGAGCGATAACTAGAAAGAGAGATAACTAGAAAGAGAAAATTGAAAAAAACATGAAGCCACCTAAAGATTAAAATGAGACCCAAAACATCACAGTTCCTCTTTTGGCCCCGAGGATGTTGGAAACTTCTTACAATCTAATTTGAAGCCCCTCCCTTAGCGATATCAGTTCACCATATCATCACTGATGAGACGAGACACGCATCATACAGCATACACAGAGACAGAGACAGACAGGCCAACAGCACTCACTTCATTAATACACTGTATATCCCCCTTCTCTATAGGAATCTTTCAGCCTTGGTAAGGGCTGCAGGTTGAGGGCTGAGGGGGTAAAGGGGTGAGGGCTGAGGGGGCGGAGGTGTGAGGGCTGAGGGAGGTGTGAGGGCTGAGGGAGGTGTGAGGGCTGAGGGAGGTGTGAGGGCTGAGGGAGGTGTGAGGGCTGAGGGAGGTGGAGGTGTGAGGGCTGAGGGGGGTGGAGGTGTGAGGGAGGTGTGAGGGCTGAGGGGGGTGGAGTGGGGTGAAGGGTCGGGGGGTGAAGGGGTAGACGTGTCCATTAGAACCCGTCCAGGTGGTTCATATTGTTGGCCCTGTTGTGGATCTCTTCTAGAAAGTTCTCCAGCTGTTCTATCAGCACCCGCTTCTTAAACCTGTACAGAACAGAAAAGAAAACAGTCACTGATACAGAAATAGAACATGGTCACTGGTAAAGACACAGAACACAGATATACAGAACGAAGCGTCTAGTTGAACATCAAGAGAGAGAAACTAAACAGAGCCTACAGAGGAGGTTTAAATAATGTAGTGGAGTTCAGGATATTTCAGCAAATGTGTCATTTAAAGTGAGAGATCTAGCTAGGTAAAGTTTGTTGAATATTAAATACATGTAAAAAAATCAATAATAATAATAATAATGTTTCCTGATCTTTCTTATCTCTCTCAGATATAGGAGACACACTTCAGAACAAACTTCCTTTTGATATGGTTTTGGGAATATCTGTTGATCCATGTAGTGAATCTGTTATTCAATGCGTTTATATGGGCTAATAGCAGTAACGGCAAAAATGATTTTATCAAATATTTACATTTAAATTTTTACAAAAAGAAAAATTATAATACTTTTTCAATATATATTTTTGATACTTCAAGGGGTCATAAAATTAAAAATAAAATAGCTAAATGATCATTTGGTATGACCTTCGTAAAACAATTCCATATAGCTTAGTAGACCCCCCCCCCCCCCCCCCCCCCTCCCCTCCCCTGGTTTAGACAGGGCTTAGACTGATGGGTTAAAAACAGCCAGACAGGAATACAAAGAGTTCCAAGCTGATCATGTTTTAGTTTGACTCAGTCTGTTTAGAAGCTGGTACTGGAGGGGGTTGTGTTCCTCACCTTGCAGCCTCTTTTATAAATGTTCTGGAGGAATATCAACCGTGTTCCTCACCTTTCAGCCTCTTTTATAAATGTTCTGGAGGAATATCAACCGTGTTCCTCACCTTTCAGCCTCTTTTATAAATGTTCTGGAGGAATATCAACCGTGTTCCTCACCTTTCAGCCTCTTTTATAAATGTTCTGGAGGAATATCAACCGTGTTCCTCACCTTGCAGCCTCTTTTATAATGTTCTGGAGGAATATCAACCGTGTGTCAAAGCTTCCTTGGATCTGCTTCAGGAAATGGAAGATTTTTTCATAGTCTATAAAAACAAGAGAGAAAAGGGAAGCGTGAAGCAGAGTGATAGCTGCTGATGAAACTAGACAACTTTCCATTCGGGAATTTCAGACGAGACATCAACAGTAGGCTATGAGACTAGGTCTAAGGAGAAAGTTAGTGAAGTGAATGACTACGATCAAACAGCCAGTCTCTATACATACAGGCCACAGATTAATGACTACTATCACACAGTCTTCTAGAGCAGTGTTTCCCAACCCTGGACCTCCAGTACCCCCAACCCTGGTCCTCCAGTACCCCCCAACCCTGGTCCTCCAGTACCCCCAACCCTGGACCTCCAGTACCCCCAACCCTGGTCCTCCAGTACCCCCCAACCCTGGTCCTCCAGTACCCCCCAACCCTGGTCCTCCAGTACCCCCCAACCCTGGTCCTCCAGTACCCCCCAACCCTGGTCCTCCAGTACCCCCCAACCCTGGTCCTCCAGTACCCCCCAACCCTGGTTCTCCAGTACCCCCAACCCTGGTCCTCCAGTACCCCCAACCCTGGTCCTCCAGTACCCCCCAACCCTGGTCCTCCAGTACCCCCCAACCCTGGTCCTCCAGTACCCCCAACCCTGGACCTCCAGTACCCCCCAACCCTGGTCCTCCAGTACCCCCCAACCCTGGTCCTCCAGTACCCCCCAACCCTGGTCCTCCAGTACCCCCAACCCTGGTCCTCCAGTACCCCCAACCCTGGTCCTCCAGTACCCCCAACCCTGGTCCTCCAGTACCCCCAACCCTGGTCCTCCAGTACCCCCAACCCTGGTCCTCCAGTACCCCCAACCCTGGTCCTCCAATATCCCCAACAGTACACATTTTTGTTGTAGCCCTGGACAAACAAACCTCATTCAACTCATTGAGGGCTTGATGATTAGTTGACAAGTTGAATCAGGTGTGCTTGTCCAGGGTTACAATAAAAATGTGTACTGTTGGGGATACTGGAGGTCCAGGGTTGGGGATACTGGAGGTCCAGGGTTGGGGGTACTGGAGGACCAGGGTTAGGAAACACTGCTCTAGACATACAGGCCACAGATTACACAGCCAGTCTCTATAAATATCTGGATCTAGACCAGTACAAACACTTTCACCATAAAATAACAATTCAATTTAAGTTAGGCGACTTTCTCTGGTTGCCGTGGCAGAGTGTGGGCGTGGCGGCCCCTGGTTACGTACGTCTCCCTGGTTTCCGTATCTCCTTGGTGATGAGGGCTCGTAGTTCGGTGTTGACCTCCAGACTCTCGCTGTTCATCACTTTCTTCAGCTCCCCGGGGGAGGGGTACCTGGGCAGACGCTCCTCCTCCACACCCCCAGTCTCTCCTCCGTCCTCACTGCCCTCTGAGAGCTCCACCTCTCTGGGAAGCCCGTTCTCCTCCTCAGTGTCCCCATCACCATCATCCTCCATGTGGTTCCCTGGTCCGGGGCCGTCTAGAAGGGGTCCAGAGAGGATCTCTCCTGGTCCTGGTTGGGCTGCTGTCCCGGTCTCGCACCCCTCAGGGCTGTAGAGGTTCCCAAACACGGCCTCTGAGTCTGACTCAGTGTGGTCGCTCTCTGTGAAGGGGGGTCAGGGACAGTCATTCATAACTAACATCTATGGAACTAAAATACCGTCACTTTCTTTCACAGGCTCAGCGCTTCACACATTTGTGTTAACACACAGGTGCACTGACAACAATGTGTGTGTCTCACCAGTGAGGGGGGATCTGGAGGGGCTGGCTGCAGGGCTGACGGGGGGTGTATAGGTCCTGCCGGGGCGCAGTAGGGGGGACATGCACCTCCGTCTCTTAGGACCCCCGCCTCCGATCCCGTGCATGTTGGTGTCACTCCCCGGGCGCTTGCCCTTGTTCTGGGGACCCGTCACAAACTCATCCGCCTCGTCAATCATCATCCCCTAGAGAAAAACAGCAAGAGAAGACAGGATGAACAAACGCACTATTACAACTTTACTGTCCATTGTCACAGCGAACAACTGACATTTGTCCAGAAATGTGTCGATTCATAACATGGTGCAACCAATTACGTCTGTTATCAAAACAAATAGGACTTTGTGAGGTTTCTGACCGGCTGATTTCAGACACTAACACTCCTAAGTGGAGGAGAATTGGTAGTGAGAGGTACACGGGGAGAGGCAGGTCCTACCTTCTTGTCCAGTTTGAAAGGGTTTCCGAAGGTGTGCAGGCGTTTGGGTTGCTCAGGGTCTGCGTCTCTGAGGGGTTGGGGAAGGGCCTTGAGGAAGTCCTGGTAGTTGCCCATCTGGGCGATGGGCACGCTGTGGAGCTGGTCTGGACAGACGGGGGTAGAGAGGAAGGCTTGGGCTCAAATTCAGTCTTAGTCTCTTCCTTAACAAAACTGGTAGCGAGACTAATTCAATGCAAATTACAGTTCATTCAGGAACTAAATCGCACACACACACACACACCTGTGTCCTGTCCTCGGAGCAGACAGCTGGTGCTGAGCAGGTTCCTCCTCATGCGGCTCAGCTGATCCAGCAGGTGCATTCTGGGTATGTCGTAGGCGTTCCTGAAACCCTGAGGTTTCAGACTCTACACAGGGAACAGCGAGGGAGAGCTAGTATTGTCACAGCAGATCAGTAAGGCAACACATTGGGGTAGTATCATATGAAACGGTATTTACGGTTTTCTAAAATGTTGGTATCATAAAGTTTTGGTACTGCCGTATTACCTTGGTACCGGTATACTGTGCAACATTATTACACACATATACATATAAATATATAATAGTAATGTATACATCTGATCCACTTTATACTACAAGACAGAGAATCACGGCTGTTCTCTATGTGAACATCTCTAGAGATAACATGACGTCTTCATCCTCAAGCATTACAGGCAAGGGCTGTTGATCAGTGCTGCTGACCTTGTTGAGCGGCGCCAGCTGAAAGCCAGAGAACTCTTTAGGGTTGAGCTCCAGGGGAAGGGCGGGCGTCTCTCCTGTGATGCTGGCCAGAAGCTGGGTGAAGTCTCTGCGCTGGGCCAGGGAGATGTCCCCACCGCGGGCACGCACCTTGATGCCACCCTCCGCTACCACCTTCTTAGCTACAGACGCTATCAGCCGCTCGTATTCGATCTTGGTCTGAGGAGAAAATACATGATGGTTATGGAAGGAGTGAAAGGAAACCAAGAGAGTATGCACTCACCAACCATAAAACACACACACACACACACACACACAACCATAGACAGACAGCGTACCTGCTGGCTGAGCTTCTTGAGGTAGGACACTACACTGTAACTCAGACCATACTCCATGTTGTCAGCCAGGAGGTTGGGAGCTCCCATGATCCTTAGCGCCTTCCGGAGGGACTGCAGAAGAGGAGAGAAGGCATCATCAAGACCACACATCGCAACCAGAATACATAACGATGTCACCTAACTCCACGGCAGCCATGTTAGTACCCAACGGTGGATATGACTCCACAGCAGCCATGTTAGTACCTAACGGTGGATATGACTCCACGGCAGCCATGTTAGTACCTAACGGTGGATATGACTCCACAGCAGCCATGTTAGTACCTAACGGTGGATATGACTCCACAGCAGCCATGTTAGTACCTAACGGTGGATATGACTCCACGGCAGCCATGTTAGTACCTAACGGTGGATATGACTCCACAGCAGCCATGTTAGTACCTAACGGTGGATATGACTCCACGGCAGCCATGTTAGTATCTAACGGTGGATATGACTCCACAGCAGCCATGTTAGTACCTAACGGTGGATATGACTCCACAGCAGCCATGTTAGTACCTAACGGTGGATATGACTCCACGGCAGCCATGTTAGTACCTAACGGTGGATATGACTCCACGGCAGCCATGTTAGTACCCAACGGTGGATATGACTCCACGGCAGCCATGTTAGTACCTAACGGTGGATATGACTCCACAGCAGCCATGTTAGTACCTAACGGTGGATATGACTCCACGGCAGCCATGTTAGTACCTAACGGTGGATATGACTCCACGGCAGCCATGTTAGTACCTAACGGTGGATATGACTCCACGGCAGCCATGTTAGTACCTAACGGTGGATATGACTCCACGGCAGCCATGTTAGTACCTAACGGTGGATATGACTCCACGGCAGCCATGTTAGTACCCAACGGTGGATATGACTCCACGGCAGCCATGTTAGTACCTAACGGTGGATATGACTCCACAGCAGCCATGTTAGTACCTAACGGTGGATATGACTCCACGGCAGCCATGTTAGTACCTAACGGTGGATATGACTCCACGGCAGCCATGTTAGTACCTAACGGTGGATATGACTCCACGGCAGCCATGTTAGTACCTAACGGTGGATATGACTCCACGGCAGCCATGTTAGTACCTAACGGTGGATATGACTCCACAGCAGCCATGTTAGTACCTAACGGTGGATATGACTCCACGGCAGCCATGTTAGTACCTAACGGTGGATATGACTCCACGGCAGCCATGTTAGTACCTAACGGTGGATATGACTCCACGGCAGCCATGTTAGTACCTAACGGTGGATATGACTCCACGGCAGCCATGTTAGTACCTAACGGTGGATATGACTCCACGGCAGCCATGTTAGTACCCAACGGTGGATATGACTCCACGGCAGCCATGTTAGTACCTAACGGTGGATATGACTCCACGGCAGCCATGTTAGTACCCAACGGTGGATATGACTCCACGGCAGCCATGTTAGTACCTAACGGTGGATATGACTCCACGGCAGCCATGTTAGTACCTAACGGTGGATATGACTCCACAGCAGCCATGTTAGTACCTAACGGTGGATATGACTCCACAGCAGCCATGTTAGTACCTAACGGTGGATATGACTCCACGGCAGCCATGTTAGTACCTAACGGTGGATATGACTCCACAGCAGCCATGTTAGTACCTAACGGTGGATATGACTCCACGGCAGCCATGTTAGTACCTAACGGTGGATATGACTCCACGGCAGCCATGTTAGTACCTAACGGTGGATATGACTCCACGGCAGCCATGTTAGTACCTAACGGTGGATATGACTCCACGGCAGCCATGTTAGTACCTAACGGTGGATATGACTCCACGGCAGCCATGTTAGTACCTAACGGTGGATATGACTCCACAGCAGCCATGTTAGTACCTAACGGTGGATATGACTCCACGGCAGCCATGTTAGTACCTAACGGTGGATATGACTCCACGGCAGCCATGTTAGTACCCAACGGTGGATATGACTCCACGGCAGCCATGTTAGTACCCAACGGTGGATATGACTCCACGGCAGCCATGTTAGTACCTAACGGTGGATATGACTCCACGGCAGCCATGTTAGTACCTAACGGTGGATATGACTCCACGGCAGCCATGTTGTGTTGCTACCATGCTGTGTTGTCATGTGTTGTTTACATTTACATTTTAGTCATTTAGCAGACGCTCTTATCCAGAGCGACTTACAGTTAGTGAGCGCATACATAATTTTTTTATTTTTCATACTGGCCCCCCGTGGGAATCGAACCCACAACCCTGGCGTTGCAAACGCCATGCTCTATCAACTGAGCTACATCCCTGCCGGCCATTCCCTCCCCTTCCCTGGACGACGCTGGGCCAATTGTGCGCCGCCCATGAGTCTCCCGGTCGCGGCCGGCTGCGACAGAGCCTGGATTCGAACCAGGATCTCTAGTGGCACAGTTAGCACCGCGATGCAGTGCCTTAGACCACTGCGCCACTCAGGAGTTGTGCTGAGCCTTTCACCAAATTGAATTCTTGAGGTGGAGTAACTCTGCCAGATCAAGGTCGAACCAGGGGCTGAACCTGTTTTTAATTATAATTTTCTTTATGGGGGCGTTTGTTAACAATACCACTAAAAATATCAAAAAAGAAGGTCCAAGTGTCTTCGACAGAGGGGATCAAGCTGATTCTATACCAATTTACAGAGGCCAGGTCATGAAGGAAGGCCTGCTCATTCAAGTTTTTTAGCAAGCGTCTTTGACAAATCAGGACAGGTCGTTTCACTGAGCAGCCATTACGAACACAGGCTGTAAAACAGTGATCACTAAGGTCATTACAGAAAACACCAGACTGATACCCATCAGGATTATGTGTGAGGATAACATCAAGGATAGTAGCCTTTTCTGGGTGTTTGGAGTCATACCTTGTGGGATTGGTAATAATCTGAGAAAGATTTAGGGAGTCCCATTGCTTTAGGACTTGGTCAGGTGGTTTAAGCATGTCCCAGTTTAGGTCACCTAGCAGGACAAATTCAGACTTAGTGTAAGGGGCCAGGAGAAGGCTTAGGGCATTTAGGGTACAGGCCCGGTGCTGATGGTGGACGATAACACCCAGCAACAGTCAACAAAGAGCTATTTGAAAGTTTTATGCTTAAAAACAGCAAATCAGATTGTTTGGGGACAGACTTGGTGGAGATAACCGAGCACTGAAGGTGTTCCTTCGTAAAGACTGCCACTCCACCACCTTTGGAATATCTGTCTTCCCGTGATCAGTGTTCAAAACACTCTTTCTTAACCACGTCTCAGTAATGACCAACACATCTGGATTAGAGCTGTGAACCCACACTTTCAATTGATCCATTTGAGGTAATAAGCTTCTAGTGTTAACGTGCAGAAAACCCAGGCTTTTACGAGAGCAGAAATCAGTGAAGCAGATATCAGAGCACAAGTCAGAAATGGGGCTAGAAACAGTAGATGGGCCAGGGTGTACATACACATTTCCAGATATCATCAGCAGTAATACAAATCAGGGCAGAGGACAGGGAGAGCTCTGCAGTGTTGATTTTTTATGACATTTGAATGTGCATCAAATGGCAACAAGATCATATTGTACAGCAAATTCATCAGGTAACATGAATACAAAGCCAGCGAGAGGTGGTTAGAATAGGATGGGAGGCCAAGAGTCTGTAACTAATAGAGAGTCAGAGTCCCAAGTGTGGGAACAAACAGTCTGTCCCACGGTCAAGGTAAACAAGCAAGTTCATAGTCAACAAAGCACGCAGGAGTCATGAGGCTTCAAAGGCCTCTGCATTGATGGGCTCATGGGCTTTGACACCTCTGTTTTCAGGTTTCTTGTGCTTATTTTGTTGGACCTTGGAAATAAGAATATTTGGCTGTAGGAATCCTTCCAGGTAATTTTGTCCAAAATCAGGTTGTAGGGACTAGTCTCCCAGTCCCTGCCACTGAAAAACATCCCCACAGCATGATGCTGCCACCACCATGATTCACCGTAAGGATGGTGCCTGGTTTCCTCCAGACGTGATGCTTGGCATTCAGGCCAAAGAGTTCAATCTTGGTTTCATCAGACCAGAGAATCTTGTTTCTCATGGTCCGACAGTCCTTTAGGTGCCTTTTGGCAAACTCCAAGCGGGCTGTCATGTGCCTTTTACTGAGGAGTGGCTTCCGTCTGGCCACTCCACCATAAAGGCCTGATTGGTGGAGTGCTGCAGAGATGGTTGTCCTTCTGGAAGGTTCTCCCATCTCCACAGAGGAACTCTGGAACTCTGTCAGAGTGACCATCGGGTTCTTGGTCACATCCCTGACCAAGGCCCTTCTCCCCCGATTGCTCAGTTTGGCCGGGCAGCCAGCTCTAGGAAGAGTCTTGGTGGTTCCAAACTTCTTCCATTTAAGAATGATGGAGGCCACTGTGCATTCAATGCTGCAGAAATGTTTTAGTACCTTTCCCCAGATCTGTGCCTCGACACAATCCTGTCTCGGAGCTCTACGGACAATTATTTCGACCTCATGGCTTGGTTTTTGCTCTGACATGCGCTATCAACTGTGTGACCTTATATAAACAGGTGTGTGCCTTTCCAAATCATGTCCAATCAATTGAATTTACCACAGGTGGACCCCAATCAAGTTCTAGAAACATCTTAAGGATGATCAATGGAAACAGGATGCACCTGAGCTCAATTTCGAGTCTCATAGCAAAGGGTCTGAATACTTATGTAAATAAGGTATCTTTTTTTTAAAAATTATTTTATATACATTTGCAAAAATGTCTAAAAACCTGTTTGTCATTCTGGGGTATTGTGTGTAGATTGATGAGAGAAAACATTAATTTAATAAATTTTAGAACAAGGCTGTAACGTAACAAAATGTGGAAAAAGTCAAGGGGTCTGAATACTTTCCAAATGTATATATATATATATATTTTTTTTTTTTCTTCAGGATTTTGGAAATTCTCCCATGACCCCATTTTCATATCAGGAGACCTTGTTTGGGAACCTCTGAATTAGCCCCTACACCATCCATAATTTTCACTCCCTCAGCTTTGGGAGACTTGTGCAAATGGCGCAGGCGAGCGTGAACACGTAACTGGAGGGCCAAAGGGGCTGATTTGGGATTGAGTGGTTTACTTACCCCAATGTAATACGGAGGCATGGTCTTCAGGTAGTTCTCAAAGGACTGACGCCATTTAATGGTGGGCTTGAACTTGTGCACCCGGATCAAGTCATCTGCAACAACAAACAGCAGGCTTTAGAGGGTTAGAGAGTGACCACCTGGGCCAGAGACAATAATTATACTTGCATTAATGATCATATTACCAGTGTTTTCCATATTGAGTGTATTATAATGTATTATTTTGGGGTATTTGTATGCCGGCGTCACAAAATGAATTTCCATGTAAATGTACAATAAAGTATATGGTATCATAACCACCACTGCCCTCTGCTGGCTTGGTGGGGCAACGTGGTGCACTACATTAGGGGACAGGGATGTATTTCTAGACCCTAGGACAGGGCCCAGTTTCCCTAAAGCATCTAAAGGCTTTCATCATTAGAACCTTAGTAGGAGCATCGTTAAATCTCCGAGCTGTTTCCCAAAACCATCGTTTTTTCTAAAGTTGCACTTGAAAACGCTCGTTATTTACTGATTGCCTCAGATCGTAGAAACAGCCAAGTGCGTCGTTAGATGCTTTTTTTTGCCGCGTCACTTTATATAAATAAGATCTGCGCTAAACACACAAAGACGTTCATCGGTCTCTCTGTGACCAACGATAACTTCAGAACGAAGTTCAATACAAATACAAAGTTACGTTTTTGCAATTGTTACAAACAAGCGAACGATTAAAATATTATTATAATGAAAAGCGAGATGACTGCATGCAATAGAGCCAACATATATATTTAAATAACATTTAAATCAATTTCATGTGCATAAAATTTAGTTTTATTTAGCCAATTGTAGACTGTCAGAAATGTTTGCCTCAATATATTTCATGATGTGTAACAACATGTGCACAATAATGTGCCACATCTGTGATTTACTGCGTTATTAATGGGCATTAGAATAAAACTCAATATTTGCAGTCATAGGCGACCATATCTCTCTAGGAGCTGATCCGTCATCAGTGTTGTGGACTATTGTAAAAGGTAAGATTTGGAATGGAGAAAGCTGATCCGAGAGCAGCGCTGACTTTCTTTCAATCCTATGAGTATCGACGCACGCCTCAACGATGCACTTAGCGACCGTTCTCTCTGCGTGGTGTTTGGGGAAACGCATGTTACGTCTTAAGACTGCTGTAGGAACGATGCATCGTTAAAAAAAAACGGTCGTAACCCTAAGTTCCATCGCTATCGGGGAAACTGGGCCCTGGGCTCTCCAACCCTGTTGTAACTAACCTGATTCAGCCTATAAAAACAAGCAAATTATTACCCAGTAGAGGCAGTACAACAGGGTAGTTGTAGGGCATGACGAACAGGTTGACACAGTTGAGAGCCGTGCTGGCCTTCAGGTAGCCAAAGGGCTGGCCCAGGTCACTGTACTTGGCACTGTTACTTACATACACCTAGAGGATGCAAGGGAGGGAGAGAGGGAGGGAGGGAGGGAGGGAGGGAGGGAGGGGGAGGGAGAGAGAGGGAGAGAGGAGGGAGAGGGAGGGAGGAGGGAGGGAGAGAGGGAGGGGGAGAGAGGGAGGGAGGAGGGGAGGAGGAGGGAGAGAGAGGGAGGGAGAGGGGAGGGAGGAGGGGAGGAGGAGGGCGAGGGGAGGGAGGGAGGGAGAGGGGGAGGGAGAGAGGGAGGAGGGAGAGAGGAGGGAGGGAGAGAGGGAGGAGGAAACGGAGGGAGAGAGGGCGGGGAGAGAGGGAAGGAGGGAGGGAGGGAGAGAGGGAGGGATGGAGGGAGAGAGGGAGGGAGGGAGGGAGGGAGGGAGGAGGAGGGAGGGAGGCAGAGGGAGGGAGGAGAGGAGGGAGGGAGAGAGGGAGAGGGAGGGAGAGGAGGGAGGGAGAGAGGGAGAGAGGAAGGAAGGAGGAGAGAGGAGGGAGGGAGAGAGGGAGGGAGGGAGGGAGAGGAGGGAGGGAGGAGGGGGAGGGAGGAGGGAGAGAGGGAGGGAGAGAGGAGGGACGAGAGGAGGGAGAGAGGAGGGAGAGGAGAGAGGAGGAGAGGAGGGAGGGAGAGAGAGGAGGAGAGAGAGAGGGAGAGAGGAGGGGAGAGGGGAGGGAGGGAGAGGGAGGGAGAGAGGGGAGGGAGAGGGGGAGGGGGAGGGAGGGAGAGAGGGAGAGAGGGAGGAGGGAGGGAGGGAGGGAGGGAGAGAGGGAGAGAGGAGGAGAGAGGGAGGAGGGAGGGAGGAGGGAGAGAGGAAACGGAGTGAGAGAGTAGACAAACAACTCCACCTTGTGTTGTGTGTCGTGTGTAGTACTGTGTGTAGTGTTGTGTGTAGCGTAGTGCTGTGTGTAGTGTACAGTCGTGGTCAAAAGTTTTGGTCTCCACAAAGTTTGCTGCCTCAGTGTTGATGATGGCAATTTGCATATACTCCAGAATGTTATGAAGAGTGATCTGATGAATTGCAATTAATTGCAAAGTCCCTCTTTGCCATGAAAATGAACTTAATCCCAAATAAACATTTCCACTGCATTTCAGCCCTGCCACAAAAGGACCAGCTGACATCATTTCAGTGATTGTCTCTTTAACACAGTTGAGAGTGTTGATGAGGACAAGGCTGGAGATCACTCTGTCATGCTGATTGAGTTAGAATAACAGACTGGAAGCTTTAAAAGGAGGGTGGTGCTTGAAATCATGGGTTCCTCTGTTAACCATGGTTACCTGCAAGGAAACATGTGCCGTCATCATTGCTTTGCACAAAAAGGGCTTCACAGGCAAGGATATTGCACCTAAATCAACCATTTATCGGATCATCAATAACTTCAAGGAGAGAGGTTCAATTGTTGTGAAGAAGGCTTTTGGGTCCATGGCCAGGAAACTCCCCAGACCTTAATCCCATTGGGAACTTGTGGTCAATCCTCAAGAGGCGGGTGGACAAACAAAAATCCACAAATTCTGACAAACTCCAAGCATTGATAATGCAAGAATGGGCTGCCATCAGTCAGGATGTGGCCCAGAAGTTAATTGACAGCATGCCGGGGCGGATTGCAGAGGTCTTGAAAAAGAAGGGTCAACACTGCAAATATTGACTCTCTGCATAAATGTAATGTAATTGTCAATAAAAGCCTTTGACACTTATGGAATGCTTGTAATTATACTTCAGTATACCATAGTAACATCTGACAAAAATATCTAAAAACACTGAAGCAGCAAACTTTGTGAAGACAAATACTTGTGTCATTCTCAAAACTTTTGACCACGACTGTAGTGCTGTGTGTAGCATAGTACTGTGTAGTATTGTGTGTAGTGTAGTACTGTGTGTAGTGTAGTACTGTATGTAGTACTGTACTGTGTGTAGTGTAGTACTGTGTGTAGTGTAGTGTGTAGTACTGTCTGTAGCGTAGTACTGTCTGTAGCGTAGTACTGTCTGTAGCGTAGTACTGTCTGTAGCGTAGTACTGTCTGTAGCGTAGTACTGCGTGTAGTGTAGTACTGTCTGTAGCGTAGTACTGTGTGTAGTGTAGTACTGTGTGTAGTGTAGTACTGTGTGTAGTACTGTGTGTAGTGTAGTACTGCGTGTAGTGTAGTACTGTCTGTAGCGTAGTACTGTGTGTAGTACTGTGTGTAGTGTAGTACTGTCTGTAGCGTAGTACTGTGTGTAGTACTGTGTGTAGTGTAGTACTGTGTGTAGTGTAGTACTGCGTGTAGTGTAGTACTGTCTGTAGCGTAGTACTGTGTGTAGTGTAGTACTGTGTGTAGTGTAGTACTGTGTGGAGTGTAGTACTGTGTGTAGTGTAGTACTGTGTGTAGTGTAGTAATGTGTGTAGTGTAGTACTGTGTAGTACTGTGTGTAGTGTAGTACTGTGTGTAGTGTAGTACTGTGTGTAGTGTAGTACTGTGTGTAGTGTAGTACTGTGTAGTACGGTGTGTAGTGTAGTACTGTGTGTAGTGTAGTACTGTGTGTAGTGTAGTACTGTGTAGTATTGTGTGGAGTGTAGTACTGTGTGTAGTGTAGTACTGTGTAGTATTGTGTGGAGTGTAGTACTGTGTGTAGTGTAGTACTGTGTATTATTGTGTGTAGTGTAGTACTGTGTAGTACTGTGTAGTGTAGTACTGTGTGTAGTGTAGTACTGCGTGTAGTGTAGTACTGTGTGTAGTGTAGTACTGTGTGTAGTGTAGTACTGTGTGGTAGTATTGTTTTTGTAGTGTAGTAATGTGTGTAGTGTAGTACTGTGTGTAGTGTAGTACTGGGGTGTAGTGTGTAGTACTGTTGTAGTACTGTGTAGTGTAGTACTGCGTGTAGTGTAGTACTGGTAGACTTGTAGTGAGTTAGTACTGTGTAGTTATTGTGGTAGTGTAGTACTGTTGTGTAGTGTTAGTGTGAGTATACTGTGTGGAGTGTAGTACTGTGTGGAGGTGTATAGTACTGTGTGTAGTGTAGTAGTACTGTGTGTAGTGTAGTACTGTGTGTAGTGTAAGTACTGTGTGGAGGTGTAGTACTGTGTGTAGTGTAGTACTGTGTGGAGTGTAGTACTGTGTGTAGTGTAGTACTGTGTGTAGTGTAGTACTGCGTGTAGTGTAGTACTGTGTGTAGTGTGTCACGTTGTGTACCTGCCAGCAGGTGTGAGGGGACTTCCTCTCCAGGATGTACTGTGTGAGGGGTGAAGGCTCCAGCTCGTACTTGTCAAAGGGAACCTTGTCTATCACCATGGGCTCTGCATCCAGGCAGGAGAAACGTACGTGGGGGTGGGCTGAGCGGGGGGGCTGGGAGACGGGGACAGGAACAAGACATCAGAGAAAACACAGAAACACACCAGCATGCACAGACATGAGCCACGAGTGAGACAGAGACACAGAGACATGAGCCACGAGTGAGACAGAGACACAGAGACATGAGCCACGAGTGAGACAGTCTCACACAGACATGAGCCACGAGTGAGACAGTCTCACACAGACATGAGCCACGAGTGAGACAGAGACACACAGACATGAGCCACGAGTGAGACAGAGACACAGAGACATGAGCCACGAGTGAGACAGAGACACACAGACATGAGCCACGAATGAGACAGAGACATGAGCCACGAGTGAGACAGAGACACACAGACATGAGCCACGAATGAGACAGAGACATGAGCCACGAGTGAGACAGAGACACACAGACATGAGCCACGAATGAGACAGAGACATGAGCCACGAGTGAGACAGGGACACACACAAAGAAACAGTCTGGCTCTCTTACCAGTGTGGGGGAGTTAGTGTCGGGCCAGAAGGCTTCAGGAATGGGCCAGTGTCCGATGGGCACACCAGTCTTGGGGTTGGGTCGTACGTAGATCAGCTTGTGGCAGCAGTGCCAGGACTGGAGGCCGGGCTTCAGGATCTCATCTGGAAACAGATAGAAAGAGGGAAGACAAAAATAATGTGTGAAATAGAGGGAGGGGCTAGAGGCTAGGGGAAGGTTCATAGGGAGGGGCTAGAGGCTAGGGGAAGGTTCATAGGGAGGGGCTAGAGTCTAGGGGAAGGTTCATAGGGAGGGGCTAGAGGCTAGGGGAAGGTTCATAGGGAGGGGCTAGAGGCTAGGGGGAGGTTCATAGGGAGGGGCTAGAGGCTAGGGGGAGGTTCATAGGGAGGGGCTAGAGGCTAGGGGGAGGTTCATAGGGAGGGGCTAGAGGCTAGGGGAAGGTTCATAGGGAGGGGCTAATGGCTAGGGGAAGGTTCATAGGGAGGGGCTAGAGGCTAGGGGGAGGTTCATAGGGAGGGGCTAGAGGCTAGGGGAAGCTTCATAGGGAGGGGCTAGAGGCTAGGGGAAGCTTCATAGGGAGGGGCTAGAGGCTAGGGGAAGGTTCATAGGGAGGGGCTAATGGCTAGGGGAAGGTTCATAGGGAGGGGCTAGAGGCTAGGGGAAGGTTCATAGGGAGGGGCTAGAGGCTAGGGGGAGGTTCATAGGGAGGGGCTAGAGGCTAGGGGGAGGTTCATAGGGAGGGGCTAGAGGCTAGGGGGAGGTTCATAGGGAGGGGCTAGAGGCTAGGGGAAGGTTCATAGGGAGGGGCTAATGGCTAGGGGAAGGTTCATAGGGAGGGGCTAGAGGCTAGGGGGAGGTTCATAGGGAGGGGCTAGGGGGAGGTTCATAGGGAGGGGCTAGAGGCTAGGGGGAGGTTCATAGGGAGGGGCTAGAGGCTAGAGGGAGGTTCATAGGGAGGGGCTAGAGGCTAGGGGGAGGTTCATAGGGAGGGGCTAGAGGCTAGGGGAAGCTTCATAGGGAGGGGCTAGAGGCTAGGGGAAGGTTCATAGGGAGGGGCTAATGGCTAGGGGAAGGTTCATAGGGAGGGGCTAGAGGCTAGGGGAAGGTTCATAGGGAGGGGCTAGAGGCTAGGGGGAGGTTCATAGGGAGGGGCTAGAGGCTAGGGGAAGGTTCATAGGGAGGGGCTAATGGCTAGGGGAAGGTTCATAGGGAGGGGCTAGAGGCTAGGGGGAGGTTCATAGGGAGGGGCTAGGGGGAGGTTCATAGGGAGGGGCTAGAGGCTAGGGGAAGGTTCATAGGGAGGGGCTAGAGGCTAGGGGAAGGTTCATAGGGAGGGGCTAGAGGCTAGGGGGAGGTTCATAGGGAGGGGCTAATGGCTAGGGGAAGGTTCATAGGGAGGGGCTAATGGCTAGGGGAAGGTTCATAGGGAGGGGCTAGAGGCTAGGGGAAGCTTCATAGGGAGGGGCTAGAGGCTAGGGGAAGCTTCATAGGGAGGGGCTAATGGCTAGGGGAAGGTTCATAGGGAGGGGCTAATGGCTAGGGGAAGGTTCATAGGGAGGGGCTAGAGGCTAGGGGGAGGTTCATAGGGAGGGGCTAGAGGCTAGGGGGAGGTTCATAGGGAGGGGCTAGAGGCTAGAGGGAGGTTCATAGGGAGGGGCTAGAGGCTAGGGGGAGGTTCATAGGGAGGGGCTAGAGGAAGGTTCATAGGGAGGGGCTAGAGGAAGGTTCATAGGGAGGGGCTAGAGGCTAGGGGAAGGTTCATAGGGAGGGGCTAGGGGGAGCTTCATAGGGAGGGGCTAGAGGCTAGGGGGAGGTTCATAGGGAGGGGCTAGAGGCTAGGGGAAGGTTCATAGGGAGGGGCTAGAGGCTAGGGGAAGGTTCATAGGGAGGGGCTAGAGGCTAGAGGGAGGTTCATAGGGAGGGGCTAGAGGCTAGAGGGAGGTTCATAGGGAGGGGCTAATGGCTAGGGGAAGGTTCATAGGGAGGGGCTAGAGGCTAGAGGGAGGTTCATAGGGAGGGGCTAGAGGCTAGGGGGAGGTTCAAAGGGAGGGGCTAGAGGCTAGGGGAAGGTTCATAGGGAGGGGCTAGAGGCTAGGGGGAGGTTCATAGGGAGGGGCCAGGGGGAGGTTCATAGGGAGGGGCTAGAGGCTAGGGGAAGGTTCATAGGGAGGGGCTAGAGGCTAGAGGGAGGTTCATAGGGAGGGGCTAGAGGCTAGGGGAAGGTTCATAGGGAGGGGCTAGGGGGATCATTAAAGGAGTGGGTGTCTCTCTCACCCTCTCCAGGAGGGGGGTCAGGGCCTGTCTTCTCAAAGTTGATGACCACTCCACTCTGGATCTTCTGCAGTAGAGACTCCAGACACTGGTTCAACATGCGCTGGGAGAACACACTGTAGGAGCGACCTGAGACAAAGACACACACACATTAGATCAAATGCACTCACCCATGACTGACTCATTGTTGCAGGTCACCAGGACACACAAACACACACACATCCCTCAATAGCCAATCTAATCAGCAGTAATGGGCAGTATGTAGAGTCCCCCAGTAGTAACAGTATGTAGAGTCCCCCAGTAGTAACAGTATGTAGAATCCCCCAGTAGTAACAGTATGTAGAGTCCCCCAGTAGTAACAGTATGTAGAGTCCAGTAGTAACAGTATGTGAGAGTCCCAGTAGTAACAGTATGTAGAGTCCCCCAGTAGTAACAGTATGTAGAGTCCCCAGTAGTAAAAGTATGTAGAGTCCCCAGTAGTAACAGTATGTAGAGTCCCAGTAGTAACAGTATGTAGAGTCCCAGTAGTAACAGTATGTAGAGTCCCCCAGTAGTAACAGTATGTAGAGTCCCCCAGTAGTAACAGTATGTAGAGTCCCCCAGTAGTAACAGTATGTAGAATCCCCCAGTAGTAACAGTATGTAGAGTCCCCCAGTAGTAACAGTATGTAGAGTCCCCCAGTAGTAACAGTATGTAGAGTCCCAGTAGTAACAGTATGTAGAGTCCCCCAGTAGTAACAGTATGTAGAGTCCCCCAGTAGTAACAGTATGTAGAGTCCCCCAGTAGTAACAGTATGTAGAGTCCCCCAGTAGTAACAGTATGTAGAGTCCCCCAGTAGTAACAGTATGTAGAGTCCCCCAGTAGTAACAGTATGTAGAGTCCCCCAGTAGTAACAGTATGTAGAGTCCCCCAGTAGTAACAGTATGTAGAGTCCCCCAGTAGTAACAGTATGTAGAGTCCCCCAGTAGTAAACAGTATGTAGAGTCCCCCAGTAGTAACAGTATGTAGAGTCCCCCAGTAGTAACAGTATGTAGAGTCCCCCAGTAGTAACAGTATGTAGAGTCCCCCAGTAGTAACAGTATGTAGAGTCCCCCAGTAGTAACAGTATGTAGAGTCCCCCAGTAACAGTATGTAGAGTCCCCCAGTAGTAACAGTATGTAGAGTCCCCCAGTAGTAACAGTATGTAGAGTCCCCCAGTAGTAACAGTATGTAGAGTCCCCCAGTAGTAACAGTATGTAGAGTCCCCCAGTAGTAACAGTATGTAGAGTCCCCCAGTAGTAACAGTATGTAGAGTCCCCCAGTAGTAACAGTATGTAGAGTCCCCCAGTAGTAACAGTATGTAGAGTCCCCCAGTAGTAACAGTATGTAGAGTCCCCCAGTAGTAACAGTATGTAGAGTCCCCCAGTAGTAACAGTATGTAGAGTCCCCCAGTAGTAACAGTATGTAGAGTCCCCCAGTAGTAACAGTATGTAGAGTCCCCCAGTAGTAACAGTATGTAGAGTCCCCCAGTAGTAACAGTATGTAGAGTCCCCCAGTAGTAACAGTATGTAGAGTCCCCCAGTAGTAACAGTATGTAGAGTCCCAGTAGTAACAGTATGTAGAGTCCCAGTAGTAACAGTATGTAGAGTCCCCCAGTAGTAACAGTATGTAGAGTCCCCCAGTAGTAACAGTATGTAGAGTCCCAGTAGTAACAGTTTGTAGAGTCCCCCAGTAGTAACAGTATGTAGAGTCCCCCAGTAGTAACAGTAGCAGAAGCCATTGTCCATCTGACCAATGACACATTGAGCAGAAAGCCTGACTCTGTAATCTTAACCTCCATCTGCACTATCACCAGGACTCACATGCCAACAGCACACCTTGGCTATTGGCCAATCACCGCTCCACTGTAGGTCAAAGTAGGCTTAGGCTAGGAGGTGCTGGCTCATTCTAGAAAATGAAGTCAGCTGGCTTAATTCTATTATTATGCTTAGGTTGAGGCTTAAACACATACTGTATGCTCATACTGTACGTGTGTGTTGTGTTGGACACATGCTGATGTTCTCTACTCTGCTACTCCTGATGTTCTCTACTCAGCTCCTCCTGATGTTCTCTACTCAGCTCCTCCTGATGTTCTCTACTCAGCTCCTCCTGATGTTCTCTACTCAGCTCCTCCTGATGTTCTCTACTCTGCTCCTCCTGATGTTCTCTACTCAGCTCCTCCTGATGTTCTCTACTCAGCTCCTCCTGATGTTCTCTACTCTGCTCCTCCTGATGTTCTCTACTCAGCTCCTCCTGATGTTCTCTACTCAGCTCCTCCAGATGTTCTCTACTCCTGATGTTCTCTACTCAGCTCCTCCAGATGTTCTCTACTCCTGATGTTCTCTACTCAGCTCCTCCTGATGTTCTCTACTCTGCTCCTCCTGATGTTCTCTACTCAGCTCCTCCTGATGTTCTCTACTCAGCTCCTCCTGATGTTCTCTACTCAGCTCCTCCTGATGTTCTCTATCAGCTCCTCCTGATGTTCTCTACTCTGCTCCTCCTGATGTTCTCTACTCTGCTCCTCCTGATGTTCTCTACTCTGCTCCTCCTGATGTTCTCTACTCTGCTCCTCCTGATGTTCTCTACTCTGCTCCTCCTGATGTTCTCTACTCTGCTCCTCCTGATGTTCTCTACTCTGCTCCTCCTGATGTTCTCTACTCAGCTCCTCCTGATGTTCTCTACTCAGCTCCTCCTGATGTTCTCTACTCTGCTCCTCCTGATGTTCTCTACTCTGCTCCTCCTGATGTTCTCTACTCAGCTCCTCCTGATGTTCTCTACTCAGCTCCTCCTGATGTTCTCTACTCTGCTCCTCCTGATGTTCTCTACTCAGCTCCTCCTGATGTTCTCTACTCAGCTCCTCCTGATGTTCTCTACTCTGCTCCTCCTGATGTTCTCTACTCTGCTCCTCCTGATGTTCTCTACTCTGCTACTCCTGATGTTCTCTACTCTGCTACTCCTGATGTTCTCTACTCAGCTACTCCTGATGTTCTCTACTCTGCTCCTCCTGATGTTCTCTACTCAGCTACTCCTGATGTTCTCTACTCTGCTACTCCTGATGTTCTCTACTCAGCTACTCCTGATTGAACACTTATTGATGTATATTGACACTGCACTGTTGAGGAAAGAGCTTGCAAGTAAGCATTTCACAGTGCCATTTCCACCCTCTGTATCCTGTGCATGTGACAGATCAACGTTGATACTCTACCCTCATAAAGGCGGGTGGCTCATAGACACTGAGGCAGTAACACACACAAACACAGCGCCTCACCTCCGGTGACCTCACACATGGGGGTGATGGCCGAGTCGTCGGGGGGGACCCCCCCCAGTGGTTCGGGCTCTACAGTGGCGTGCCCAGGGATCCTCAGCACCAGGGAGAACAGACGCTGGTCCCAGCGGAACGGCTCCTTGGTCAGCTCACTGCCCGGCAGAGGAGTGGTCAGCGGAAGGTGGAGCTGGAGGGAGAAACCGTTTGAATTACATAAAAAGAGCATCAAGAGCGAGAGACGCTTACATGCCAACCTCACCGGACACGTTGCATGACAAAATACATTTACACATGCCTGTACATGTTATTCAATCATGTCACCTAAAAACGATCGCGAGCGTCTGCAAAGCCAAGCGCTAAAATCGAACTTGGTCCTATTTGACGTGCCTGACTTGCTGCAAGTCCAACCTCTCCCATCTACTCATTGGTTTTCAGGAACCTACAATCCCACGTGGGTAGTTGAAAGATGAACGAGGGGATATTAATCATATATAACTAACTAACAACTCAGAGAGCATCATTTGAGGTCATATGAATTTAACGTTAATTACAATTTTCAAAGTCATGTCCCCCCCCCCCATCCTTGACTTTTCCTAAATAAGTCTATTCAACACACTGTCGTTGTTAGAATTCCGATATCATAAACAGCGTGTGTTATAAGCAGTTTTAGGAGGACATGTCATTTCCCCCCCCTGCCCTTCCTTCACCAGTTGGCTGCCGTCTGACAGTGGCCCATAGAAACTAGCAATAGCCAGCTAGCGAAATGTCCATGATTTTTAATTTTACCTTTATTTAACTAGGCAAGTCAGTTAAGAACAAATTATTATTTACAATGACGGCCTACACCGGCCAAACCCGGACGACGCTGGGCCAATTGTGCGCCGCCCTATGGGACTCCCAATCACGTCCGGTTGTGATCAGTGGCGGCTCCTGAAAAAATTCTCAGGAGGGGCAATTTTTCTGATGATTTAGGTGACCTACACACATTTTAAAAAAGATATGTCCAGCAACAACATGAAGACAGGGGCAGCATATAAGTCAATACCAGAAGCATTTATTGACTGATCTCAAAAGTGTTGGCTTACCAGGGTTGGTGGAGCCCTCAGTTTCATCTTTGCCTCGCAAAGCTAACTCAAACACTCCGCAAAACTTCACACACTGGATTAGCCGGCTGAGGATGTGGCGGTTCTTGCTAATGTCGTAGTAAATATATTTGTTATAGTGAATATGGAATATGATATGTTGAGTAAAATGTTGTGCTAAGATCTATTTAGGTCAGGAGCTGGTTATAAGTTCTGTTCCTATCCAATAACAATGGACAAAAGGGTCCTATCTTGTCAGCCTTGTCAGCAGGTGGCCAAGGACAACACCCACGCCATAGGCCTCTCAGTTCTTCCAACTCACGAGTTCTTGCTCTGAGGACACACACACACACACATCATCACTGTTAAACACACACACACACACACACAAAAATCCCCTCTCTTAGGCTGAACATTTGAAGACAGAGAACCCGACTCAGAGCCAATGCAACAGTGACAGTAGCCTGGAGGGGACCTCGCCCAACTCATCAGGACCAATCAGAAGATCAGAACTACTAGATTCAACCTACTTCATTTATTGCATAAAATGTCTGCACACAATGTTTCGGGGCTCTCTTCAGATAATAATAATAATAATAATAATAATAATAATAATAATAATATGCCATTTAGCAGACGCTTTTATCCAAAGCGACTTACAGTCATGCGTGCATACATTTTTGTGTATGGGTGGTCCCGGGGATCGAACCCACTACCTTGGCGTTACAAGCACCATGCTCTACCAGCTGAGCTACAGAAAGTGGATACTCATGGATGCGCATTGCAATTGTAAAATGTCAACACAATTGGAGACACCACGTCATTTTTGGAGACATGTTATTGACAGTAAACTATTGTAGATGCGACTGCTAACTAAATAAAACATTTTAGCTGGCTAGCTAATCATCTTAGCTAAATGTGGGGCAAACAATTCAGTTATTTACCGTTAATTTGAGGGATTGGGGTGAAAGAAATCGAGTTACATAGTGATACTTTACGATATACTGTATTGACAATATCGCAATATTTTAGCGCTAGTTGGCTGTACCTGCACCAAAACACCATTATTGTTCCTTCATAGCTTGTTCTCAATCTTTTCACATTGGGAGCCAATTTGTTTTCAGCACTTTTATTTCCATGACTGATCAAAAACTCGTTCTCATGGCTTTCTGATCCCTCTGCAACAGACATATGGTGCGCAATAAAATCACAGTATCGAATCGCAATACGTATAGAATCATGAGACTCGCAATGCTGATGCATATATCTTATCGTGAGGTTCCTGGCAATTCCCAGCCCAAGTTCATTTGCCACAACAAATCTCTTCGCTAGCAAACGCGATGTCTTCTCCAAAACGGCAATGTGTCTCCAGCAATGTTTACTTTTTTGACGTTCTATGGCATCTCCACTTTCCAAGCATATATGACCACATGTAATATTTTGGTAAGTGATGCAAATAGTGAACTATGTAGGGCCAGGATGTAAAATATATGTAGCTGCAGCAATTTCTCTTATCTGATATGGTAAGTAATGGGGCTTAATTTATAGCTCCCTAAGAGTTTGACGAACGGGTCCGTGAACGCGATTCCAGATATCTTTACCTCTGAATAAACTGCCTTTATTACCATATCCACCCTGTCCAAAGTCTCTACTTGGTCTCAGTTCCAGTAAACTTGTGATTATCAACACTAACCTCATCGTTGTGGCGGCGGACAGCTAGCCTGTATCCCTCGTCATCCAGTTGAGTGAGTGGCAATGTCTTTTTTCGTTCGTACAAATTTTTGGAAAATCCTCGGGTGTAGGACTTTCCGCCTTTAGTAGAAACCTGTTGAATTATTAAATTTGGTCTGGGAGGTCCTAATTGTTTCGTTGCCAATTTATCTTCATTTGTTCGCCGACAAAAAGGAACTTCTTTCAAACAATCCGCTCTTTTCTCAGTTACGTTCATGGTTACGTAACGTATGACGAAAGCGCGTAAGTGCAAGCCCACAGACACCCATTGAGATTGTATTGAAGGCTCTGAAATTTGAAAAAAATAGATTTTACATGGGAGTCTATGACAGACTTCTGGGCGATTTTCAACCTGACTGAAATCGCCCCAAAAGGGGGGGGAGCCATTTGAAGCACGACTTTAGCCTGATTCGACATTTAGTGGCAGTGTGGCACTGTGGCAGATCAGACGTATAGCTTACAACACTGATAACTACTGTTGCCGTGATATAATTGATTAGAAAAAAAATCCCTTCCTTTTCCCGTTTGGCAGTGCGTCGCCCATATCGCCCTATTGAACAGGCCGCCCCTGGTTGTGATACAGCCTGGAATCAAACCAGGGGGTCTGTAGTGACGCCTCAAGCACTGAGATGCAGTGCCTTAGACCGCTGCGCCACTCGGGAGCCCAAATGTTTCATGTGTGTTTGACATGCCCCCAAGTTAGTTGGTTTTGATATTTTAACCTGCGTGTCATGATCGCATCTGGTGTGGATGGACAAAACCAACATGCGTGATGGCGGGGGGGTAGTCAGCATATTACACTACTTTTTGTCGCGCAACACACGTCAGCGAGGGTCCAACGCTGCCACCGCGTCCATAGCCTCGAGTTTCCCTGTATTATGGTGGGAAACAGCTGTAGCCTATAGAGTCCCACCGTAATACCCATAAAACCATAGGGGTCAAACACGGAAATGGTTTTTCCACCATTCATTTTTCCCATCGTTTTTTATATAGAAACACTTCAAATAAAGGGCTGTGTTTCGTGTAGGCTTACCCTGGTGTGACGTTTTGATAACCGTGCAAATCTCTCTCGGACAAGGTGACTTTTATCAATATATTGGCCTGTATTTACCCAGTAGTAGCAGTATTTACCCCCCCAGAGGAGTGGTCAGGGTCCAAAATGGAAATGCTAACTAGCTGCTAAAGTGGCTATCACACAGAACTAGAAATGCCTGTCTGAAGCTTCACGTCACTCACCAGGGCCATGATGATCTGGACGAGACTGACGAAGAGGTAAAGGTAAGAATCTATGGATTAACTATCTAATGTTTGCTAAATTTAGTAATTAATAAATTGGCTAAATTTGTTTAAATTGACAATTCTGCTTGGGCAAGTTTTAAATGTATACAATAACTGTTACCTAGCTAGCTAGTTAGCAACATTAGCCTGGCTAGATGGCTACATTAGCAGTCTATTTGTCTAGCCATTTAAATGCATGAGAAATTAGTAAAAAACAAGTTTAGCTTTCTTTGGCTTTTATAAACCAACAGTTTAACTTGCTAGTTAACTAACTTAAGATGGTGAAGCTAGGTGTTCTTGATAATGTTTGTGTCTGTGGGTGAGCGGTGGGGGGGGGTAGCCTACTTCAAGCACCCCCATTTTATGTTTATTCCATGGCCAACCACCCCTGTAGCAGTCTAGCTACCCCTTACGCCACACTGCCTTTTATGCCCCACGGTCCCTCAACTTCGGACACTTTGGAACTCTCCATCTTATCTCTATAAACCCACCCTACCGTCACCCATCTTCCTTACGCTGCTTCCTCCACATGTTCTTCTCTTGACGTGATAACGTCAAGACTCAGTATCACATTTTAAAAGTGTTGTGGTGTACAACACGGACCTATTAAATTGACAAGAAGGGTGACGATCTAGATGCGTTTCGGCATGGCTTCCTTATTTTGAGACTTAAGTGTGTCTCTCGTTCTACTGGAGTTGACCTAGTATATTATTTGAAACCTACTTGCTAACTGGTTGTCGTTATACAGGTGCCGCATTCAACCAGTTAGCAAGTCGGGAATTTCTGTTTCTTAGTTCCGACTAGCACGTGAACTTGGTTTTACATTGTGTTATTTTTGCTGGTCTAATTCTTACAAATGGAAAAGCTCTCGGACAGTAATAATAGTTAATATGGTGCTCTTCGATGTCCCAGGTTTGTGGCATTGATTAATAGAACATGTCATCTTTACTTCAAGTCAGATGTTTATATGTTATGCATCGTTTAGAATTTTGATTTCTTTAAAACAATGTAATTGTTGGAGTTCAGGTGTTTGATGTGATTGATGGGTGACTAGGTGCATTCTTGTCAAATAAATATGCTTATTCCTTCATGATTATGGATACATTCTGCAATGAGTTAAATCGGTCTCTATGAATCTGCAACAGAACATGTCAACAAGTTAGTTCTGAATTGCTTTAATACAGCAGTGCATTCTGACACCGTGAATTGAAATAGATTTCACCTCGTTCATATAGTCGGCAGAAATAAGGGATTAAATATAGACCACCGGCTGAAGGAGAAGAGGATCTGGTAAAATAAGGGTATGTTGCTAATATCATCTAGGTAGGTAGCTAGCTAGCTATATAGCTTCTTTGCTAAAAACTAGCCTAGTATTCATTGCACATAGTAAATATCTGACTGCTTCTAGGATAGTATTCTGTACAAGACAAGAACAAATGCATAAATAAGACAAAATATTAGTTAAATAAAATATGGAACAGTAAAGGAAAATGTTCAATATATCTTTCACTTTGGATCAAGGTAGCTAGTAGCTAGCTAGCTGACCGCAAACGTGTCAGCTAGAGATGACGTGCATGAGCTTGCAGGGATTTGTAGTCTCGTCTACTTGGTGCTAATTAGCATTTTAGAATCTGAGAGTAAATAGAACCTAATATATTGATTTAAAAAAAAGTCACCTTGTCAGAGGGATTTACGCGGTTATCAAAACGTCACGCCAGGGAAAGCCAACATGAAACAGACCTTGTTTGAAGTGGTTCTAAAATCCCCTATGGGAAAAACGTATGGGTGGAAAAAATGATTGGAACCATTCCAGTGTTTGACAGCTAGGTTTTATGGGTATCATGTCCACTGTGGGGCTCCATTGCATGTTTGTGTTTATGAGTCAGTTATTAAAGAATGTGAAACAATGTGTATGTTTGCTGCTTTTCATTATATCATGTATGGCTGTTTTTTTGGGGGGGGGCCTAAAATAAATGCATTCATATGGGCAGAACATTTTATACACAGAGCCTTCAGAAAGTATTCATACCCCTTGTCTTATACACATTGTTGTGTTACAGCCTGAATTCAAAATGGATTACATATATTACTTTTCTCAGCATCTACACACAATACCCCATAATGGAAAAGTGGAAAAATATATATATATATATTGGAAAATGAAATACAGAAATCTCATTTACATAAGTATTCACACCCCTGAGTCAATACATGTTCGAGTCACCTTTGGCAAGTTTTACAGCGATGAGTATTTCTTTATCACTCCTGGATTGTACAATACGTGATTGTAAAAAACAAAATATTCAAGCTGTCAATTTGGTTGTTGATCATTGCTAGACAACCATTTTCTGGTCTTGCCATAGATTTTCAAGCAGATTTAAATCAAAACTGTAACTCGGCCACTCAGGAACATTCACTGTCGTCTTGGTGAACAACTCCAGTGTAGATTTGGCCTTGTGTTTTAGGTTATTGTCCTGCTGAAAGGTGAATTCATCTCCCAGTGTCTGGTGGAAAGCAAATTGAACCAGGTTTTCCTCTAAGATTTTGCCTGTGCTTAGCTCAATTCCGTTAATTTTTTATCCTGAAAAACTCCCTAGTCCTTAATGATTACAAGCATAACATGACGCAGCCACCACTATGCTTGAAAATATGGAGAGTGGTACTCAGTAATGTGTTGTATCGGATTTGTCCCTAACATAACGCTTTGTATTCAGGACAGAAAATGTATTGCTTTGCCACATTTTTTGCAGTTTTACTTTAGTGCCTTGTTGCAAACAGGAAGCATGTTTTGGAATATTTGTATTCTCTACAGACTTCCTTCTTTTCACTCTGTCATTTAGGTTAGTATTGTGGAGTAACTACAATGTTGTTGATCCAACCTCAGCCATTAAACTCTGTTTTTTTTAAAGTCACCATTGGCCTCATGGTGAAATCCCTGAGCGGTTTCCTTCCTCTCTGGCAACTGAGTTAGGAAGGACGCCTGTATCTTTGTAGTGACTGGGTGTATTGATACACCATCCAAAGTGTAATTAATAACTTCACCATGCTCAAAGGGATATTCCACGTCAGTTATTTTTATTTTACCCATCTACCAGTAGGTCCCGTTCTTTGCGAGGCTTTGAAAAACCTCCCTGGTCTTTGTGGTTGAATCGGTTTGAAATTAACTGCTCGACTGAGGGACCTTACAGATAATTGTATGTGTTGGGTACAGAGATGAGGTAGTCATTCAAAAATCAAGTTAAACACTACTATTGCACACAGAGCGAGTCCATGCAAGTTATTCATGTGACTTGCAAAGCACATTTCTACTCCTGAACTTATTTAGGCCTGCCATAACAAAGGCGTTGAATATTTATTGACTTAAGACATTTCAGATAAATAAATAAAAAATAGTTAAATTTTTGTACATAATACCACTGATATTATGGGGTAGTGTGTAGACCAGTGACAAAACATCTCAATTGAATCCATTTTAAATTCAGGCTGTAACAATACTTTCTGAAGGCCTACAGAAATCTGATCAGTTATACTGTTCATGTGAAAACATTGTGATTTTAGAGACAAAGTAACAATAGCATCTTATTAAAAGGGACTGCATGTCAAGCTATTACTCGGCTCCCACCAAGTCACACGCACAATTAATCAGCTTTCTTATTACTTCGATTATTATTAAATCCATTAATTATTATTGACATTTATTAATTGACATCAGTGCTGCGGGACAGTAACAATTCCAGCCAGAATAACCGTGTTTTACCAAACTCCAAGTCCTCTGATAACTCTGACGAGTCTTGTGGGCAATGACAGTGTTTTCCGAGACAGAGTTTGACAGGTGCTGCTCGCAGCTAGAGCAAGAAAACAAGACCTGATTTTTATAAATTGAGGCTTAAAAACTCCCCCATATTTCATATGAATGGCCTACATTGAAAACTTTTTTCGGGGAAATTGCAAGTTCACTTTCTCATCCCATAAATGCATTTCAAGTGCAAATGTGCTGTTCAGCAGCTCACGTCAGCCTTTTCATTAGAGGCTCTCCACAGTGATTTCACAGTCTACACAAAGCTACGGTGTTCAGTTCAAAAAATTCTGCTGAACAAAAGGTACACTAGTATGTGGACACCCCTTCAAATTAGTGGATTCGGCTATTTCAGCCACACCCGTTGCTGACAGGTGTATAAAATCGAGCACACAGCCATGCAATCTCCATAGACAAACACTGGCAGTAGAATTGCACGTACTGAAAAGCTCAGTAACTTTCAACGTAGCACCGTCCTAGGATGCCACCTTTCCAACAAGTCAGTTCGTAAAATCTCTGCCCTGCTAGAGCTGCCTCGGTCAACTGTAAGTGCTGTTATTGTGAAGTGGAAACGTCTCGGAGCAACAACGGCTCAGCCGCGAAGTGGTAGGCCACACAAGCTCACAGAACGGGACACCCGAGTGCTGAAGCGCGTAGCGTGTAAAAACCCATCCGTCCTCGGTTGCAACACTCACTACCGAGTTCCAAACTGCCTGTGGAAGCAAAGTCAGCACAATAACTGTTTGTCGGGAGCTTCATGAAATAAATGGGTTTCCATGGCCAAGCAGGTCAGTCACATTCAGTGTTCTTTTCATATCGAAAAAATGCTACTGGTAGCCTATTAATAAGCTATAGTCAGGCATCACATATTAGTGCCAATCTCTAGTAGCCTAATACTCCTCCAATCAATGGAGAGATTTACTGTGTTGCTGACAAGTAGGAGGGGATCGGCCAGAACAAGCCGCTGTGCAGAATCTCTAATATATAGTCTATTCCTATCCAACAAATGCTTTTTTGGAGTCTAATTTAAAATATATATCTTAGGCTTAGTTGTATTATTGATAATTACATTCTAAAGCAAATTCAAAGAAAATGAATTACCTGGTTAAAATAAAGGAACCGAAATAAGTTGTTACCTATAGGCTATTGACAATTTAAATGTATTAATAAAAACATTAGCAGGCTTACGGATCAGGCTAGTAAATGTTTCAAGTAATCCACCCAACCCTGTTTTATTCTGTCTTCTAGGAAGGCAACGAAAGCTTCCTGTGACTTGTTCAATCTCATGCAGCTCAGATCATTTTTTTATAGACAAAGATAGTATAGGGTGTTTTCAGACAGGTTTAACGAGCCAGCCGGGGTGCACCAGCCAGCCGTGTGTGCACCAGCCAGCCGTGTGTGCACCAGCCAGCCGTGTGTGCACCAGCCAGCCGTGTGCGCACCAGCCAGCCTGGGGGTGCGCGTGCAGACTGAAGAGTCGTTTACGAAGGAGTTTGCTTCTTCTGCAGCATTCGCTGTAAAATATAACACTTTGCGGTGGTGCTTCACAGACAAACAGAGACACACAGAGAGAGAGAGAGAGAGAGAGTTGTCTGTTCAGCTGACCAACAGGAAGTACTCCTGATTGGCTGTGACCCCGGTCTCCATGGAAACCATGATGACTGACCTCATCCTGGACTCCGCCACTGCTGGTCAGCTTGTTGCCGTCGGTGATGGCCACTATGATGGACGGCTCCAGGAAAAAGGGATTCCTGCCCTGTGAAAGGAGAGCGAAAGGAAGAAGAGGTTAAAAATGACAGACAGTACAGATAGATGCAATTACATCCAACTCAAAGGAAACGTGAGCGTAGCCAAAATGTAAAGTTCAAATGAAGCTTTGTGAGCCGAGCGGTGATGAGGGGTACTTGAGGCCTGGCGCTGTAACACCAACAGGAGCACATGGAGCACGGCCACATCTGAAATGGCACCCTGTTCCCTTTATAGTGTACTACTATTAACCAGAACCCTATGGCGCCCAGGTCAAAAGTAGTGCACTATATAGGAAATAGGGTGCTAATTCAGATGTAGCCTATCATTATAGTTAACCTAATGGAGATATGGGTTAGGAGGGTCAAGGAACAGAATGGGGGGGGGGGGGGGGGGGGGTGAGTGAGAAAGACTGACAGAGAACAACATCTACTCCTTGGGGTAACAGTGGATAGGGGTGGGGGGGGTAATGAGCATCAGGGGAGGGAGAGAACACAGTATGAAGACGGTCTGCAGGGACAGAGCAGCAGAGACTGCACCAACACTTGACAAAAACAAAAAGACTCATATCTTTGTCTGTACTCTCCAGTCAAACCTACACATTACATAAAACCACTCTACCTTGCACACACACATAACACTGACTTTGCAACATTGGTTGACGCATGTAGAGAATCACTCTCCTTCATCGTAGCAAACTTCACAGGCATATAGCCTATAGCATAGGTACTGTATAATCATTCTGGCTCTAGAGACCAGAGGGAGACATCAGTTATATCCTCCCTCCTCTTAGTGTACATTACGGTAAACACTAGCCTGAGGACAACACAGCCAACTATCCTGTGGTAAAGATGGTCTCTACCAAGCTATAACAGCTCACTGCTGTCCTGACACTCTCGCTCTCTCTCTCTCTCTCAAAAGAGCTACATATGTCCAGGAATTTACCTCTCCTCAAGGTTTACAGTACTTTCCCCACTGGTGACCGTTCCTATCAACGGACACAGATCGGTTCCCTTCCAACTTTTCATTGTGACCAGAGTGGTTTTTGCTGAGTAATAAAATTGGGAGTTCCGTAAACAGAATAAAGAAAACATACCCACATATACAGACTGACTAGGGTATCCATGACAACCTGGAGTTGTCTTTCAGAATGGTACTAATGATATCCTATTCTAGTCAACACCCACTTAGCATGCTAATCTTTCTCAATATGAACTACCAGCCAGAGAAAACCCTGCAGGGGGGACATAGGCTTATATCGATTAGAAACATTAGAAAACAACAAACATTAACAGAACGAGAATGATAGCGAAGCTACATATTTACTCAGATCCTCATTTGAGTCACTGTGTCATTATTGCTTTACACAACATAGAAACGGCTTCAGCGTGACACGTCTACACTTCAGTATGACTAATCTGATCCACTGGCCTGATAGGGCAGGTGTGAATGGTATAGTGTATCCCTGTGATCAGTAGGCTGGGAGTGAGTCTGTGGCACGTTGCCAAGTCTGCTAAAATATAGACAGACAAGAGGTAATTAGATCTCTATTAGCTGGGTTGCCATGTTGTGCGGTCTGCCGAACCAGTCAGTCAGTCAAACCAGCCCTATGGGCTCTGGTCAATGGTAGTGCACTAAATAGTGCATAGGGTGCCATTTGGGATTCAGACATAGTGCTCACACCTAATTCAGCATCGTTAACTACGAGTGACTAACTGGCTACTAGTGACATTCCACCCGGCTCTATTATGGAGCACTATGAGGCATTACATAAAAACCTCACTGGCTAAAAGAGCTTTAAAAGACTTCAAGCTGTAGACATGTAGGTAACCTGGCAGATATGTTTTATTCTCCCTGCAGCAGGGCTCTCCAACCCTGTTCCTGGAGAGCTGCCGTCCTGAAGGTTAACTCCAACCCTGTTCCTGGAGAGCTACCTTCCTGAAGGTGTTAACTCCAACCCTGTTCCTGGAGAGCTGCCGTCGTGAAGGTTAACTCCAACCCTGTTCCTGGAGAGCTACCTTCCTGAAGGTGTTAACTCCAACCCTGTTCCTGGAGAGCTGCCGTCCTGTAGGTTAACTCCAACCCTGTTCCTGGAGAGCTGCCGTCCTGTAGGTTAACTCCAACCCTGTTCCTGGAGAGCTGCCGTCCTGTAGGTTAACTCCAACCCTGTTCCTGGAGAGCTACCCTCCTGTATGTTTTCGCTCCAACCCTAATGTAGCGCACCAGATCCAAAAACTTTGCTGGTGGATAAGCTGTGTCAGGTAATGCTGTGTTTATAACCAAATGGAAAGGTGGTAATTACCAGTTGTGAAGGCATGAATAGCAGTTGGATACATTCACATGCTTTGAACTCGTTGAGAAACGCCAGTTTGCTAATGGCCAACAAGCTGCTTTAAACAAACTAAAAGTACAACTATCATGATTGTAAACAAATGTGTTTAAAAACCATATTAATACATACATAAATAACATTGTTGTTACATTTAACTTCCAAAAATGCTGTTAGAGGTAATTTCCTTAGTAGATGATGTCAGAGGACAGCATGTGGGAGAAGTCAGAGCTAAGGGAATGAGAGGAGTTTCCCACTAGTAATTACAAGTTTATTTTTCACAGTTGTATGTGATAAATAACACCTTCCCACTTGGTTATGAACACAGCATTAGTTACAATTGGGATTGGAGCAAAAACCTACAGGAGGGTAGCTCTACAGGAACAGGGTAGGAGTGAAAACCTACAGGAGGGTAGCTCTCCAGGAACAGGGTTGGAGTGAAAAACTACAGGAGGGTAGCTCTCCAGGAACAGGGTTGGAGTGAAAACCTACAGGAGGGTAGCTCTCCAGGAACAGGGTTAGAGTGAAAACCTACAGGAGGGTAGCTCTCCAGGAACAGGGTTGGAGTGAAAACCTACAGGAGGATAGCTCTCCAGGAACAGGGTTGGAGTGAAAACCTACAGGAGGGTAGCTCTCCAGGAACAAGGTTCTTCCTCCAGGCAAAAAAACAAAACATGAGGTCTTGGTTATAGCAGCCCATGTGGTCATACCAGATACCAGGGATGCATCTCAATAGTCTAAAACTGACATCCTCTCCTCTACCTCATTTACACTCATTTGAATTGACAGGATAGGTGAAAGCAATGTGGTGGATCCCTACCAGGAAAGTGATTTCACCAGTCCAGCTCTACTATATCAGTGCAGATGAAGGAAAGGAGATGAGCACAAGACCCAAACCAAGGTCTGAGGATTCTATCAAAGGCATGGGGAGAGGGCGGAGACCAAGCAGGGTGCGGCCACACCTAAACACTGGAACTAAAAGGTGCGGCTGTGACGCATTCTCAAATGGAACCCTACGTCAACTGATCAAGAGGAAAGATTGGATCACCAAAATAAGATTGCCCTCATGTGTTTGTATGTTTCTGTGTGCGTGTGTGTGGATGATGTGTGTGTGTGTGTGTGCATGTACAGGCTGTACCTACATATGCCTGTCTGCTGGGGCGATAGAGGTCTTTGAACACAGAGAGAGCGTTCTACATGCATTATGTATGTAGTATGTATGCATTACTCTTGAAGGTACAGGCGGACGTCTTCCCTGTCTCAGGAGACGCTGGTTAAACATTTATACAGTCAATCAGCCTCCTGACAACTTACCTGAAGACCATTATCTCTTAACTGGCAAATAATGATCCTGTACGCTATAGTATAGCACTGTAATATTAGGGAGATTATGTTTGTTTTTTTAAGTATCCGTTTGTTGACCCATAGATACAGTATGTCACAATAGTCGACATTGCCCTACAATGTCATGTACGTGAAAGCAGAGACTGTTGACTGCTGTTTACTATGGATATAGCAGGTAGACAGCCAGCGGAAATCACAGAGGACGAAACAAATAGTCCCACCCAGTAGGTGGGTATCCTCATCTCCATCACTAACAAGGTTATCAGAGAGAGGAACAAAAGACGAGCGGCTAACATGGCAGAAACCGCTCTCTAGAGGCCGGATCAGGAGAGGACTACTGGACTATTTCCTCAGCGCTGTTCTGTTGAGCTGATCACTGATACTCGTCTAGGTCCAGGATGATAGTCTAGGGCAGGGTTCTTCAATTCCGGTCCTGGAGGGCCGAAACACCTCTGTTTTTCATCCTCTCCTTCTAATCAGGGGCTAATTCAGACCTGGAACACCAGGTGAGTGCAATTAACTACCAGGTAGAAATAAAAAACAGAAGTGTTTCGGCCCTCCAGGACCGGAATTGAAGAACCCTGGTCTAGGGCCAGGATACTAGTCTAGGGCCTAGGGCCAGAATACTAGTCTAGGGCCTAGGGCCAGAATACTAGTCTAGGGCCTAGGGCCAGAATACTAGTCTAGGGCCTAGGGCCAGAATACTAGTCTAGGGCCTAGGGCCAGAATACTAGTCTAGGGCCAGGATACAAGTCTAGGGCCTAGGGCCAGAATACTAGTCTAGGGCCAGAATACTAGTCTAGGGCCACATATATCAAAGTCTTACTCCATCTCCTCTGCCTGTATACTGCACCTGACGTATTCTAGATCCCTCAAATTCAAATATGGACCTCAAAGCCAGTTCCACTGCTCCCCCCTCCTCCTCTCATTCTTCCACTAATCAGGGTGATTTAAATCTGGGATAACATGTGGGTGCAATTAATCATCAGATAGAGAAGAAAACCAGCAGTAGTCCGGACCTCATAGGGTAGGATTTGAATACCCCTGTTCTAGATTCTCTCTCCTCCCCCCTCATGTTTCAGTTTAGAGAGAACCCATTTCTAATTAACACGCCAACTTTAAAACGATTGCCTATCCATTTCTCTTTTATACAAACAGGAGAGATAAAGGAAGTTCATTGTGACGTGTTACTTTGGATGAAATGCCTTACCATTGGGTACAGGAGCAAAACAGCAGTCCCGTCAAAAAAAAAAAAAGTCAAAACCGGTACATTAATACTAGTAAAAAAATAAATTGTTGAAACTCCTACCACACTGTTGGTTCATCACTTGTCACTCAAGGGGAGTGTGTGGGGACAATGTACAGGAGTGTGATGCTTGTAAGACTGTGAGATTGGCGGGGTGGGGACAAAAGATGGGGGACCCTAGAGGGGAAAAAAAGTTAACCAATTCTCTCCTATCTCGGAGTACAACATACCTGTCCATAGTTGTCTATCCCAGACACTAATCTATTGAGATTGAGCAAATCAAAAGCGGTCCTCAAAGACTGGCCAATAGTTGTGAGTCCTGCTGCTTGAAGGTTCCTCAACTCCGTCATGAATGTGGCATGGCTCTCTTTCCATCCAGCCTTTTGAAATAGGGTAAGAGGTATACAAGTTGTCATCAACAACACGCATGGAACAATAATAATAATAAGCCATTTAGCAGACGCTTTTATCCAAAGCGACTTACAGTCATGTGTGCATACATTTTTACGTATGGGTGGTCCCGGGGATCGAACCCACTACCCTGGCGTTACAAGCACCATGCTCTACCAATTGAGCTACAAAGTGGGTTTATATTTTTGTCTGACAACGTCGACGATTTCTAAGATCAGATCAATTAATACACTTTTACAATGTAATTAACTTGATAAACATCTCAAAGTATGTGAATTCTTTTTCTTTTTCTTTTTTTGCCTTTGAAATATTGTCAACAAATAAGACAGCTTATTCCCTACTACTGTATCAGCTGAACCACAAAACTATCCATAGAAACAAAAATGGTAAACTAATAACGATTTAAAGTAGAGACAAAAGTGACAGTTGGTCAAAGTGGTGAGTTAGCAACCCTGACACCACCTCCCCACTATCTAGTTGTGAAGCCTAAAAATCACCCAGAGTTCCATGTTGCCAGAGATCTGTATATAATGACGAGATGGTCATGTCTCCGCCCTAACAATCGGAGTCGTTGTCCCAAAGGCGGGAACGCAAGCGACAAGTTTATGTCCAAAATAAGCCCATGTAAACGCATTGGGCTTATTTTGGACAGATTTTTTTGGCGAGAGTGAAACCTCTCGCTTCGCCTATTCCTCTCTGATGCTGCTCCGTGCTCACATTGAAACAAAATGTCGGCCATGTTTTAAAGGGGGTATGAACGCTCCGTCTGAAGATTTTTCACACAATTGATATGGTGATCGAAATGTGAGAAGACAATCAGACTAGCTGCGTAATGTAAAGTAGGACATGACCGAAAATAAACTCTACCTTGATTCCGAGGGGAACGTCCTCAAAATTTATCAACATATACCGGTCCCCTCGGCTCGCCGGATCTCTGCCTCTAAGCTGTGGAAAGAATAAACGATAAACGGTTATCGAGCGATTATTTTTTGTCAGGGTTAGTTAGCAACTTTAAACACACGATGATCAAAACGGCGATCCCGCGTGGGGGTCTTCCAGGGCTGCTCGTCTCGGGGTTACAGTACCTTCATGAAAGTCTCAACAGCGCCTTTTGCAATGTCCAGATAGGTAGTGCCCAGATGGGTGCGCTGGTTCATTGACGCGGACGTGTCTATCAGAAAAAGTAACACGGGCATTGTGTTGGTGATGACACGTTCTGCATGGACTTGGTGTCAGTGCAACCGGTCAAAACTGAAAAAATCTTTTGTTCTCCTCCTGCCGCCTTAGCTAGCTAGCTTGCTAACTAACTGCCTCACACATCTTTACAAAAGTGTCAGAATAGTGAGTGTAGATGCCCTTCAATAAACTGAAATAAATCTAAAAATCCTTGGGGCAGACTCTTAACTTAAGAGGGATTGTGAAGTTTCTTTATGTTATTTTGTAAATATTACTAAATTTCATAGAAACCAAGTTTCCTACTACATCTCGTCCCTGTTTCTCCCTACACTGAGAGCGCTGTGTCTTGCCCACTGGTTTTAAAGTCAGCTCCACACTTGACACCGCCTCCCAAGCGATCTTTGAGCATCACGTGGCAACATATTCGGTTACTGATAGGCTGTTTGAAGTTGTAAATTACCATATCCAAATAAGGTAATGGGAATAAGAGCCGTCTGCGCATGCTTGACAAGATAGGAACGCAAAGAAAAAGCAAGTCGGGAAGCGCATGCGGATCTCACTGAGAAGCATATTACAACATATAGATTTACGGTACTCAAAATAAATGTAATTGAGGTTTGGCACTGTCTAATTTTTTCTTCTAAGTATTGAATATTGGTTGTAGCGTTGACATTTTCAAGCAAAGGAGGAGGATGTATTTATTCAGGGACGCAATGTCGAGTTGTCCGCCCTACTGGTCGAGTTGTCCGCCCAACAGCCGGGAATCTAAGAAAAATATCCTCGCATTATGTAATAATTTTATTTCCACCGTGTGCATTTGCGTTAGTTCTCAATTTGTATGCTTTTTTCAAAACTATTTCGAGTAGACAACACTGGACATAGCCTTTATTTTGAGTAGTATGAACTGCAGTGTATAGGCCCACACTACACTAGACCTACAGTACACACAAAAGAAAAAGCATGTTCATGAAGGCAGGTTCTTTCTGGCAGCTTTGATAACTGTCTGATTTAGATCTAATCAATGCTAGTAAACTGCGTGTTATTCTCAATAGTATTAGCTATAGTCACTGTGTTATTCTCTCCCATTATCAGGAAGGCTACACAGCAACCGACAAACACAGATATTAACAAATATATACGCCTATAATGTAGGCCTAAATCAAATCAAGCATCAATTTCCTCGATTGCCCTACTTTGTCACAATAAGGCCTGCAGTTATTCTCGTTCACTAGACATGAATCACATGATTTGCCTTATTTGTCATTATCAGAATTATGACTGTACTTCCACATAAAAAGCAGACAAAATATTATAATTTTAGCTAGAGGGATAGATGGATCCAAGGCACAGCACAGTACAGTATACGTTTATGTTGTTTATGGCATAAGTCCTGCTATTCATGTAGACCTGCCTATAGATTTTACAGTATCAGACTCCTTTTAAAGATGTCCCAACTTGTGTTAATAGTATACTGACATACCAATCAAGTAGTCAGCTGACTGCAGGGACTCGAGCCAGAGAAGACTGGCCTATGTAAACTGTATTGAGTTACTATCAAACTTCCTGACTAATAATTTAACATACTATGGGTAATGCTCAATAGTGTCACAGAGAGACAAAAGCCTGTGCTCTGTGTAAACTGCATAGTCCTACAGTATAGGAGCTCCTCTCCTTCACATAAAGGTATACATTTGTTTGATTCTCATAATTTGCAAACGCTGTATTGTGTGTTGGATGTTATGCAATGAGCTGCAGCGGATGTAGCCTAATTGATGTAGAAATGTTGTATTCAAGCCAATAAATTCAGCATGTTTTGCAGAACTGCTTACATAAGTAAGATGCTGAATATCACATAACTGTGGTAATTTCCTCAGTATGTGCTAATTTCTATACATTTAGCATTTACAGAATCAATCAATCAATGTAGTGAAGTGTGGAAATCACAACAAAGTTGCTTATTTATCATAACTTCCGCAATAATTTTGCAACTTCCGACAGCCTCGCCATTCTAGTTTTTTTTTCGGCGCTGACTAGCAGCACGCCACGTTTTTGCAGTAAGATATCATTACACTTTTTTCAAAATGGCTAGCTTCTAGCTAATAAATCAATGTTGTTTTTCCCCCTGCCTTCAATGAAACATTCCACCACATTTGCCTGAACACAGAAGCCATTACACAGCCTAGCGCGCTAGCTACGTGAATACTTGTGCCGAACTAACGCGCGATTTCCGACAGTATTTGAAAAGTTGAGGTGCATTTTCAACCTCGCCAGCGTCTCTAGCTACCTATCCCTTTTTGTTTCATTCGCGTGTTCCAAGGTTTGGTACAACCAGTGGTCCTTAGGATGGAATTCCAAGGTGGGTAACTAGCTATCATTTTTCTTTAGTCTCGCTAGCTAACTAAACAGAGACAATACTGCTAGTGCTAGCTAGCAATAAACTAGCTAGCTAACTAAGCCAACACATTGTCACACGAGTTAGCTTACTTAGCTAGTTAGTTTTATGTACTGCTAGCGGCTTGCTATGAAACTCGACTAGAAAACTCAATTAACCAGTGTTTTATTTTTAAGCTCCGTTTTGAGCTTCTTACAAGCTGCTTGTGAAGCGAACCAACAAACTAACTTAGCTAGTTACTGTAACGTTAGCTAGCAAGCTTGGCATTGTGGGTTCGTTTCCCACCGGGGGCCAGTATGAAAAAAATAAAATAATGTATGCACTCACTAACTGCAAGTCGCTCTGGATAAGAGCGTCTGCTAAATGACTAAAATGTAAATGTAAATGTGACTGGTCAGTTAGCTAGCTAATTTAGTTATGTCAGTGTGTTGGAATGTTTATAGCTAACGTTAGCTACCTAGTTACTAGCCAGTTAGGAGTTGTGATGAGTAACTAAAAGCAGTTTTGAAATCAGCAACTAAGTAAGTTAGTGGGATAGCAATGTGGAGGAGGCTAGGCTATAGACTAACGTTAGCTAATAACATAGATCCAAAGCTAGGTATCTCTGTGTTAACAACTAACTATACTGAACGAAAATATAAACGCAACATGTAAAGTGTTGGTCCCATGTTTCATGAGCTGAAATAAAAGATCCCAGAAATTGTGGCATATCAAGGAGCTGATGAAACAGCATGAACATTACACATGTGCAGCTTGACTGGGAACAATAAAAGGCCACTCTAAAATGTGCAATTTCTTCACAACACAATGCCACAGATGTCTTCAGTTTTGCAGGAGCATGCAATTGGCATGCTGACTGTAGGAATGTCCACCAGAGCTGTTGCCAGATAATTGAATATTAATTTCTCTACCATAAGCTGCCTCAACGTCATTTTAGAGAATTTGGTAGTATGTCCAACCGGCCTCACAACTGCAGACCACGTGTAACCACACCAGCCCAGGACCTACACATTCGACTTCTTCACCTGCAGGATCGTCTGAGAGGAGCGAGCCAGACAGCTGATGAAACTGTGGGTTTGCACAACCAAATAATTCATGCCCAGGTGCATATGAGTCAAAATAAGAATACTGGAAGAGATGGCGACCCTCACACTATCGAAAAAAATTCATAAATCCTAAACTGAGGCTTGAATGCAAAATAAAGATGTTTATTAAAACATCATGGTGCCCCAAAAATAATAGTGCAAGAAAGTGCATAAGTGAAAAGGTGTTTTGTTTCCACTTTTCATTTATGCACTTTCTTGCGCTATGATTTTTTTGGGGCACCATGATGTGCATACTCATCAGACATGTCACCCGTTGAGCATGTTTGGGATGCTCTGGAACAACAGCACGTTTCAGTTCCCGCCAATATCCAGCAACTTCGCAAAGCCATTGAAGAAAAGGGGGATACCTAGTCAGTTGTACAACTGAATACATTCAACTGAAATGTGTCTTCCGCATTTAACCCAACCCCTCTGAATCAGAGAGGTGCGGGGGGGGGGGGGCTGCCTTAATCGACGTCCACGTCATCAGCGCCCGGGTGCCCAGGAGCAGAACGACGCTGCTACCTGCCACGGGAAAACATTCCACAGGCCGCAATCAACAGCCTGATCAACTCTTATGAGAAAGAGATGTCGTGCTGCATGAGCCAAATGTTAGTCACACTCACACCAGATACTGACTGGTTTTCTGATCCACGCCCTACTTTGTGACCAACAGATGCATATCTGTATTCCCTGTATTCCCTGTCATATGAAATCTGTAGATTAGGGCCTAATGAATTTATTTCAATTGACTGATTTCCTTATGAACTTTAACTCGAAATTGTTGCATCTTGCGTTTTTATTTTTGTTCAGCGTAGGTAGCTTACTTACTCATTAGCTTCGCTAACTAACGTTATCTGCCATGTGTGTCCCTAGGCACGGAACCAATGACTCTGGGTTCCCCAACATCGCCTAAACCCGGCCCGGGTGCCCAGTTCCTCCCAGGGTTTTTAATGGGGGATCTGCCGGCACCTGTCACACCCCAGCCTCGGTCATTTGGGGTCATGGAAATGAGGTCACCACTTCAAGCAGGTGAGGGAGAGTTTACTTTTTGGGGGTCATTGGTCATTCACCAGCTAAAACAAGTAGCTAGCTAGCTGACTTTCCAATCTGTCATATGTCATTATCTAACATCCCTTTTATAGTCAAATTAGGCTAGCTAAATCCTACAGCGTGACTTTAAAACACCTCCTTATTTGTTACTATCAGATCTGTTACTTTCACTTTCAGTGTTGTGATATGGCGAAGGCAGTCTTGTCATCTCTGCCGTATTTCCGATTGATCCCTGACTGTTTCTGTAACCCTCTCTCTGTTAGGTGGCTCTCCCCCCCAACCCGTGGTTCCTACACCCAAAGACAAGAGTGGGGCCCCTCCAGTCAGAAGTATCTACGATGACCTCTCCAGTCCTGCTGTAGGGATGTCCCCTATGGGCGCACATAAACAGGTACATCTTTAACAGAGTAGGGTCCTGACCTGGGCGTGAACCCGGGACCTTTACGCGCTACAACACTTTGGACTCACAGAGCAGTGTTCTAATAGCCTGACTAACGCACAGACTTACGTGGTAGAACGGTGAGCAGGAACGCTGTGGACCCACTGGTCTGGTAACCCTACTTTCGGCTTTGAAGCGGGCGCAATTGATTGGTTCTGACTTATTTCCCTGGGGGATTTGAGACCTCTCGCTATTTGGATTTGAAAAACAAACAGTTGTAAAAGCAAAGGGGGTGGCGCTCAGGTGCTGTGTGTGTTTGGTGTTTTGAGCGACACGAGAACCAACAGTGTAAAAGCTCCCCTTTTTTTTATTATCGATGCATCATGCAGATAACATCAAAGAGCCCCCAGACTCTTCAGCCACTCTGGTATCTGTCTCTTTAGCCCGGGAAGTGTTCTAACCAATCCTTAATGATTCTACACCTGCTACATTAGCATCTCACCAGAAGCTTTTGATTTTGAGTAGTGTATCTGCATCAAGACGACGTGTAATAATTTTGATGTTGTTATCTTCTCTCAGCCCTTCTCAATGATGCACACCCCACTGTCTGGTTATATGGCGGTCACACCAGGAACCGGTGAGCTATTGAATAAAAAAAAAAATCTAACTTGTTTGTTCCACCTTTTTACTAAGAGAGGGATTTCATAGGTATGTCCTAATTTTCTCTGACAGCGTCCAGTATATTTAGTCCTGCTACCACCGGACAGCAGGCGAAGTCAACAATGTCTCCAGCCCAAGTAGACCCTTTCTTCACTCAGGGAGATGCACTGTCTTCCGAAGACCGTCTAGATGATACTTGGATCACTGTGTTTGGGTACGTTCCTGGTATTGCACCCCCCTAATATCTAACTTTAACTGTTTGAAATAGTGGGTACATTCTTTTTAGCTCACCTGGTTCCGCAGGTGTTCAGAGTTTTCACTCTAGGACCAATCAAATCATCTCAAGTGTGCAAACTCCGCTCACTTGGTGCCCAGGAGGACCTTAAACAGATGCACCGAATTTGTCTGATCTGTGGAACACAATGCAGCACCCCTAGAATGGGTTTGTTGAGGTGAAAAAATAAACTGCTTCCTGACTGAATAATACTATTTGTTAAACAGGTTCCCTCCAGCCTCTGCATCTTATATTCTGCTGCAGTTTGCCCAGTATGGAAACATAATGAAACACGTGGTAAGAATATTGACCTCCTTTTGAAAATGAAGTGCAACTGTGTATTTCTGTGTCTGTCTGCGTTCCGTCCCGTTACGACGTTATGTTCTCTTGTGCTAATAGATGTCCAACACTGGTAACTGGATGCACATTCAATATCAGTCTAAACTCCAAGCAAGAAAAGCACTAAGTAAAGATGGGAAGATTTTTGGCGAGGCTATAATGGTTGGTGTTAAACCGTGCATCGATAAGGTAAGTCGCTCTGGGTAGATTTACGTAGGAACACTTTCATTAGTGATAATTTGATTATTTTTTTTTACGCTGTGAGAATAATTCAACTGAAAAGTCAACACATTTAGAAATGAGTGAGTGGATGTCTTTTATTACTTTGTGTACAACACATCTGATCATTTTAATTAATATGATTTCTTAATTGGTTTCGCTTTCTCTTGTTCTCTCTGTCTCTCAGAATGTGATGGAGAGCTCAGACCGAGGCGCTACCTCCTCCGGCTCAGTATTTACTCCTCCGGTCGGAAACGGAACCCCGGGCCACCATGTCGCTACACCTCGCTCCTCTATGAGGCCCCTCAGTGCAGCCTACAAGGCCTCCAGCAGTGATTACCAGGTAGGATCAGGGGGGTTTCACCAAACCAACAGAAAGTTGTTAGCACATGAAAAAGATGAGGACCAAGGCCCTCTTTTATATAATTACAATGTTTTTATTATCACGACATGTTCAATGGCGCCAACATAAAAAAAAAAAAAAAACTGACGCGTTTCAGCAGCGTTTGACTTACTGCCCATTTACACTATACAAGTGGCACTCACCTAGCCGTGCTAGCTTCGCCCTCATGTGGGTGCTAGCAAGCTAGCTAGGTAGTGCTACGTATCAGCAGCCATTGTCAGCCAATCCAGTAGGGGTTTGAAGCCAGCGCTACACTTATCCTTATTTTTTTTACTTGTCTGAGAAATCAAGTCACTTGTCTCCCCCTCCCCCAAAACAAGTCGAACACCACGGGCCAAAAAAGGTGACTGAACGTTGTGTTGTAAAAGGTGACTGAACGTTGTGTTGTAAAAGTGACTGAACGTTGTGTTGTAAAAGGTGACTGAACGTTGTGTTGTAAAAGGTGACTGAACGTTGTGTTGTAAAAGGTGACTGAACGTTGTGTTGTAAAAGGTGACTGAACGTTGTGTTGTAAAAGGTGACTGAACGTTGTGTTGTATGATGCAAGGACCAACTTCACAAAATTACCTGAATTAATATCACTGGTGTTGACAATGGAAGGCTGCTGCTCTCTGATCCCATGTATTATACACTGTCTCCTGCCGTTGTGGCCTTGAGCAAGGCACTTAACCCCCCACCAAGTAAAATACTGAACTGATAGGCTACTGTGTAAACACCATGCTACTGTGTAAAACACACACCATTTTGATCCAACCCTGCTCAACCACAACACGAGTCAGCTTATCAAGGTCCTGTTGAGAAGCTGATTTTTTTATTCATTATTATTTTTTTATACAATGTGGTGTGTTCAAGCAGGGCTGGAGTAAAAGCCTGCACACCCAGTAGTTCTCCTGGACTCTCCTGGAGGATGGTTTGCCACCATGCAACAACCGAATGCGTGTCTTTTTAAAAAAAATAATTCCCTCATTCAATGAACCAGGGATCCAATGGCTAAGGTGAGTGAGGTAGCTAACCACGATAATAATAATAAATAATAATAATAATATGCCATTTAGCAGACGCTTTTATCCAAAGCGACTTACAGTCATGCGTGCATACATTTTTGTGTATGGGTGGTCCCGGGGATCGAACCCACTACCTTGACGTTACAAGCGCCGTGCTCTACCAATTGAGCTACAGATGTTGATCTATTTGTAAGGTAAATATATTCTGTGTTCAGGGGAGATCTTGACAGCGTAGGAGTTACTTGTCAATTAGGCTATTCTAAGAATATATTTGAACTTTGTCAGAATTACATGTTCAGTGTTGAATAGAGGAGAATCCTAGCCAATTTTGAGCACCTGAGAGACTATTTTACAACCGGGGTATGCAGCATTGGGTTTCAACTGTGCACCCGTATCAACTGGGTGCCTGCCATTTGCGGTTCTACAGGAGTGCCGGTGGAAAGTTATTTTAGGACATCGGACATGACAGTGACATTTAATACATGCTAATAACCAGCCAAACTACACTGTTTTGAATTGGGCTATCTAGTTTCTCTGTTGTATATCATTATTATACCTGCTGCGTAATGTCTCTCACTCCTCTGGCAATGGCCCACGCAGGTGATGCACACACCATTACTTTTTCACGATTTTCATTGCTGACCAAAAGTGAGCTATAACTGGGCAAATAACTCACTAGCTAGCAATGAATATCAAGAAATGTGCACATTTTGTATTTATTATGGATCCCCATTAGTTCCTGCCAAGGCAGCAGCTACTCTTCCTGGGGTCCGGCAAAATTAAGGCAGTTATACAATTTTAAAAACATTACAATATATTCATAACAGATTTCACAACACTAATAAGTGTGTGCCCTCAGGCCCCTACTCCACTACCACATATCTACAACACAAAATCCACGTGTATAGTGCGTATGTTATCGTGTGTGTGTGTATGCATGTGTCTATGTTTGTGTTGCTTCACAGTCCCCGTTGTTCCATTAGGTGTATTTTTATCTGTTTTTTAAAATATGATTCTACTACTTGCATCGTTACTTGATGTGGAATAGAGTTCCATGTAGTCATGGCTCTATGTAGTACTGTGCGCCTCCCATAGTCTGTTCTGGACTTGGGGACTGTGAAGAGACCTCTGGTGGCATGTCTTGTGGGGTACGCATGGGGTGTCCGAGCTGTGTGCTAGTCGTTTAAACACAGCTCGGTGCATTCAGCTTGTCAACACTTTTTACAAATACAAGTAGTGATGAAGTCAATCTCTCCTCCACTTTGAGCCAGGAGAGATTGACATGCATATTATTAATGTTAGCTCTCCGTGTACATCCAAGGGCCAGCCGTGCTGCCCTGTTCTGAGCCAATTGCAATTTTCCTGAGTCCCTCTTTGTGGCACCTGACCACACGAATGAACAGTAGTCCAGGTGTGACAAAACTAGGGCCTGTAGGACCTGCCTTGTTGATAGTGCTGTTAAGAAGGCAGAGCAGCGCTTTATTATGGACAGACTTCTCCCCATCCTAGCTGCTGTTATATCAATATGTTTTGACCATGATAGTTTACGATCCAGGGTTACTCCAAGCAGTTTAGTCTATCAAACATGACTGCATGGTTGAAAGACTGCTTGTGCCTGTCAATACAGGCCTACAATAATTATACTCCGATGCGCTCTGCAGCGATTGGGAGGACATTGTGAAACACATTGCAATTCTGATCAGAGTTGGCCAATTGTTTGTTTGCATGATTATTTTTTAATTTTTTTTAAAAACCTGTCCATTCGGACAACTTAAATCTATATTGTTATTGTCTGAAGAGGACAGGCGTTAATGTTGAGCTCTGGGAACCTACGGTGAGCTTCGATTGGTCACTCGCAGAGGATTTGAATAAAGTTTCGCTTTCCCCATCTTCAGTCCCGCCCTGTTCAGATGCCATGCTCGTGTCGCTCGACGGTCCCCGCTCACTCCGCTTCTCTCTCTCTCTCTTTCCTTCCGTTGAAAGTGAATGGCTTCCGCGCAATGCTGCTTCCTAGTGTAAATAGCTCGTTAGTCAGGGAGTACAATAATCTTTTTTATTTTTTTTGATACAAGCCCTTATTCCAATCAATCCTGATTTGAAGAGGGTGTGGTCCAGGCCTAATCTCCCAATATCAGTGCCCAACCTCACTAAATGCTCTTGTGGCTGAATGGAAGCAAGTCCCCACAGCAATGTTCCAACAGATAGTGGAAAAGCCTTCCCAGAGGAGTGGAGGCTGTTATAGCAGCAAAGGGGGGGGGACCAACTCTATATTAATGCCCATGGTTTTGGAATGAGATGTTCGACGAACAGGTGTCCACATACTGTTGGTCATGTAGTGTACATCATAGACCACTAGAAGACAGCAAAGGGACAGCTCAGGATAAAAATTTACAGGAACCTCAATCAGTACAATACTCTCAAAATACATACTACATGATTGAAAAAGGGTCAAATGCATGTGAATGCACGGATCGGTTGCCTTTTTTAATTGAACAATACATTTCAGTCTTATAAAATGATATCAAGTGACACTTTGTGTTTCTAGGGACATGGACCATTTTGTAATTCACCAGCCATGTTATATGTTTGTGATTTCAGGTGGTAGCTGACAGACAGACCCCAAGGAAAGATGACAGTTTGGTTTCCAAAGCGATGGAGTACATGTTTGGCTGGTGAGAAATGGCTGAACGCTTCATGTTAAAACTCAGACTGAATGACCAACCGCAGGCGTCCTGTCATTACGGAGTCACTGGTTCTGTCCCAAATGGCACCATAATCCCTATAGTACAGTACTTTTGACCAGAGCCTTATGGGTCCTGGTCAAACGTAAAGCAGTACATAGTGAATAAGGTGCCATTTGGGACAGAACCAGTGTGTAACTGATTTAGAACCAAGCCATGTGGATATCTTCAACCCTGTGACTACTGTGCACTTTATGTGGTGGTTGAGTGAACAGGATTTTGTCTAGACCGGATATTGTACGTTAGCGTTGAATGAAGTGTTTTTGTGTAAAAATCACAACGCTAAATTGACAAACAACACAGACCCAAAGTAAATAAATATGTTCCTAGATATGTGCCACTTGTCTTGGCATGAATATGGAATGAATCACACAAAATGAAGACACGATTCTGTCCCAAATGATTCCCTATGTGGTGCACTACTTTTGACCTGGGCCCCATAGGGGTTTGGTCAAAAGAAGTGCACTTTGTAGGGAATAGGGTGCCGTTTGTGGTGAAGGGACACACGTTGCATATCTACACAGTACATAATCTGTTGTAAGCGACGCTTTGACAGTTAGAAATCAAGGTTGTACGTCGGGATCCTAAGCCGTGACGTCGAATTAGTGGAAATGGTGGAAGATTGGTTGGTTTTCTTTCTGTGTGGTTTTGCTAGAATACAACCTTAAATAGGACGGGCTCAGATTTTTTTAATTTAGAATTTTGATTAAGAAATGCCTTTTGTATGTTGTCAAATTTTGTATTTAATTTTTAGATCTCACAAAGCTGTCTGTTCCGTTTTTATCTTGCTATTTAAAATGAGCTGTCTACTGTTTCTACTCTCTACTGTATCTCAGCTGACACTTACTGTTTCTTAAATAAATGTTGCATCATTTGAATACCAGTTGGAGTTTAGTAGTCCTGAATGACGAGCACTGTTTACTTGGTCATTTAGTTTTACCGTGAAGACTTCTGACTGTTCTACAATGTTTGCGTGTCGGTCAGTAAACACTCATGACATGTTCTAGTTTGTATTCCAGTCAGAGCATTAAATAAAAGATTGCTTTATACCGTATAAACCAGCTGGTGGCTATTGCTCACTTCCTTCCTTCCAACCCAACACATTCCTTAGACTTCATCTGAACTAAAAGTGCACAGCATCTGAAGTTATTGCAATGCCCACCACCCTAACTTTTTTAGAACTTAGTTCCTTAGTTTGCTGCGATTTTATAGGTTGCATCCCAAATGGCACGGTATTCCCTATTTTAGTGCACTACTTTTGACCAGGATCTATAGGGCTCTGGTCAAAAGTAGTGCACTTCTTGGGAGTAGGGTGCCGTTTGGGGTGAAGCCATAGTATGCGTGTAAAGCCTCTACTTGTTTTGGTTCTAAAGCCTGTGTCTGCATCTGTTGGAAGGTCATGCAGGTGAATCCGGAGGCGTGTTGTGTTTCTCTGTTTCAGTCTGAGACGTGTTGGAACAGATGTGGTGTTGAAGGTGACACTGATCTGTTGCTCTCTGGAGGCTCACCCTCCATCCCTGCTTTCCATCTCTCCCTCTGAGACTGATTCATCTTCCATTCCCCTATCTCTCCATCCCTCCCTCCACTCCCCCCTCCCTCCATCCATCCCCCTCTCCATTCCTCCCCTCTCTCCATCCCTCCCCTCTCTCCATTGCCCCCCTCTCCCTCCATTCCCCCTCTCTCCATCCCTCTATTTCCCCTCTCTCATCCCTCTATTTCCCCCCTCTCTCATCCCTCTATTCCCCCCTCTCTCAATCCCTCTATTCCCCCCTCTCTCATCCCTCTATTCCCCCCCTCTCTCATCCCTCTATTCCCCCCCCTTTCATCCCTCTATTCCCCCCCCTTTCATCCCTCTATTTTCCCTCCTCTCTCTATCCCTCTATTCCCCCCCCCCCCCCTCTCATCCCCCTATTTCCCCCCCTCTCCATCCCTCTATTCCCCCCTCTCCTCATCCCTCTTTTCCCCCCTCTCTCATCCCTCTATTTCCCCCCTCTCTCATCCCTCTATTTCCCCCCTCTCTCATCCCTCATATTCCCCCCTCCTCATCCCTCCTCTCTCTATCCCTCTTTCCCCCCTCTCTCATCCCTCTATTTCCCCCCCCCTTCCCCCCTCTCATCCCTCTATTTCCCCCCTCCATCCCTCCATCCCTCTTTTCCCCTCTCTCATCCCTCTATTTTCCCCCCTCTCATCATCCTCTATTTTCCCCCCTCTCTCCATCCCTCTATTTCCCCCCCTCTCTCATCCCTCTATTTCCCCCCTCTCTCTCCCTCTATTTCTCCCCCTCTCTCCATCCCTCTATTTCCCCCCCCTCTCTCATCCCTCTATTTTCCCCCCTTCCATCCCCTCCCATCCCTCATTTCCCCCCCCCCTCTCTCATCCCTCTATTTCCCCCCCTCTCTCCATCCCTCTTATTTCCCCCCTCTCTCATCCCTCTATTTCCCCCCTCTCTCCATCCCTCTATTTCCCCCCTCTCTCATCCCTCTATTCCTCCCCCCTCTCCCATCCCTCTATTTCCCCCCCCTCTCTCCATCCCTCTATTTCTTCCCCTCCTCTCTCATCCCTCTATTCCCCCCCTCTCTCATCCCTCTATTCCCCCCCTCTCTCCATCCCTCTATTTCCCCCCTCTCTCATCCCTCTATTTTTTCCCCCCTCTCTCCATCCCTCTATTTCCCCCCTCTCTCATCCCTCTATTTCCCCTTCCCCCTCTTCTCATCCCTCTATTTCCCCCCTCTCTCCATCCTCTATTTCCCCTCTCTCTCCATCCCTCTATTCCCCCCTCTCTCATCCCTCCCTCTATTCCCCCCCTCTCCTCCATCCCTCTATTCCCCCTCCTCTCTCCCTCTATTCCCCCCTCTCGTCATCCCTCTATTCCCTCCCCCCTCTCCATCCCTCCCCATCCCTCCCTATTTCCCCCCTCTCTCATCTCTCTTTCCCCCCTCCCTCTCATTCCCTCTCCCCCTCTCCCACCCTCTTCCCATCCCCCTCTATCCCTCATTTCCCCCCCTCTCTCATCCCTCTATTTCCCCCCTCTCTCATCCCTCTATTTCCCCCCCTCTCTCATCCCTCTATTTCCCCCTCTCCATCCCTCTATTCCCCCCTCTCTCTCCCTCATTTTCCCCCTCCATCTCCATCCCTCTATCTCCCCCCTCTCATCCCTCTATTTCCCCCCCCTCTCCATCCCTCTATTCCCCCTCCTCTCCCTCATTCCCCCCCTCTCCTCAATCCCTCTATTCCCCCCCTCCTCCTCCTCCCTCTATTTCCCCCCTCTCTCATCCCTCTTTTCCTCCCCCCTCTCTATCCTCATCCCTCTATCCCTCCCCCCCTCTCTTCATCCCCTATTCCCCCTCTCTTCCATCCCTCTATTCTCCCCCCTCTCTCATCCCTCTATTTCCCCCCCTCTCTCATCCCTCTATTCCCCCCCCTCTCTCATCCCTCTATTTCTCCCCCTCCTCCTCCCATCCCTCTATTTCCCCCCCCCCCCCTCTCTCCATCCCTCTATTTCCCCCCTCTCTCTCCCTCTATTTCCCCCCCCTCTCTCATCCCTCTATTCCCCCCCTCTCTCCATCCCTCTATTTCCCCCCCTCTCTCATTCCCATCCCTCTATTCCCCCCCTCCTCTCATCCCTCTATTTCTCCCCCTCCATCCCCCCCCATCCCTCTATTCCCCCCTCTCTCATCCCTCTTCCCCTCCTCCTCACCTCTATTTTCCCCCCCCTCTCATCCTCCCTCCTCTTCCCTCCCCCTCTCTCATCCTCTTTTCCCCCCTCTCTCATCCCTCTATTTCCCCCTCTCCCATCCCTCTATTTCCCCCCTCTCTCATCCCCTATTCCCCTATTTCCCCCCTCTCTCATCCCTCTATTCCCCCCTCTCATCCCTCTATTCCCCCCTCTCTCACTCCCCTCTTCCCCCCCTCTCTCTCCCTCTATTCCCCCCCTCTCTCCATCCCTCTATTTCCCCCCTCTCATCCTCTATCCCTCTATTCCCCCCTCTCTCATCCCTCTATTCCCCCCTCTCTCATCCCTCTATTCCCCCCTCTCCTCATCTTCCTCCTATTCCCCCTCTCTCTCCCTCTATTTCCCCCCTCTCCTCCCTCTTTCCCCCCTCTCTCATCCCTCTATTTCCCCCCTCTCTCTCCCTCCTATTTCCCCCTCTCTCATCCTCTTTCCCCCCTCTCTCATCCCTCTATTCCCCCCTCTCTCATCCCTCTTTCCCCCCTCTCTCATCCCTCTATTCCCTCCCCCCCTCTCATCCATCCTCATTCCCCCCCTCTCTCCATCCCTCTATTTCCCCCCTCCTCATCCCTCTATTCCCCCCTCTCTCTCCATCCCTCTATTCCCCCCTCTCTCATCCCTCTATTCCCCCCCTCTCTCATCCCTCTATTCCCCCCTCTCTCATCCCTCTATTTCCCTTTTCCCCCCTCTCTCCATCCCTCTATTTCCCCCCTCCTCATCCCTTTCCCTCCCTCTCTCATCCCTCTATTTCCCCCCTCTCTCATCCCTCTATTTCCCCCCTCTCTCCATCCCTCTTCCCCCCTCTCTCATTCCCTCTATTCCCTTCCACCCCTCTCTCATCCCCCTCTTTCCCCTCCTCTCTCATCCCTCTATTTCCCCCCCTCTCTCTCATCCCTCTATTCCCCCCCTCTCATCCCTCTCTTCCCCCCTCTCTCATCCCTCTATTCCCATTCCCCCCTCTCTCATCCCTCTATTTCCCCCCTCTCTCATCCCTCTATTTCCCCCTCTCTCATCCCTCTTTTCCCCCTCCACCTTCTTTCCTTTCCCCCCCTCCCTCTCCATCCCTCTATTTCCCCCCTCTCTCCATCCCTCTATTCCCCCCTCTCTCATCCCTCCCCTTCCCCCACTCTATTCCCCCCCTCTCTCATCCCTCATTTCCCCCCCTCTCTCATCCCTCTATCTCCCCCTCATCCCTCCCTTCCCTCTTTCCCCCTCTCCCATCCCTCTATTTCCCCCCTCTCTCCATCCCTCTATTTCCCCCCTCTCCTCCATCCCTCTATTTTCCCCCCTCTCTCCATCCCTCTATTTCCCC